CCTGGGCCCAGTTTCTTTTTCTTAGTTTAAAAGCATTTTCTCGGATAATTTTCTCCGTTATTTTTAGAGTTTCCGATCATCAACTTGTAGAGCAAAAGAATTAAGACTGAACTGCTTTTTAACCTTTCAAATCTGAGTTCAAATCTCGCACTAACCCTGGGTTATCTTAACCCAGCTTTGAACAACTCGGCCCAGAAGTTTCAAAACACACATCAGACCGTTTAGCTGCCCGAGTAGAGCATTATTTTATGTAGGTGTCTATATACAACAAAAACGATTCTCAAAATATATAGAAACGTCCCTAGAGGTGACGAGTCACGAGAGATGGTTATGTGCACACGCTATTATATCGTCTTTTATGTTAGTTATAAAACAACACTAAATCCTTGTTTTCCTTTCCTTACTGAAGCTCCAAATATTGCAAATAACTGTTTAAGGGTGCAGACAGAACTTTCTTGAAGCATTTGTCCTTTGAACCCAGGAATTTTCTGACAAGCTTCTCCAGGTCGAGGCGGTACGATAAAATCCTGATTATCAACCTTATTTACATATTGGCAACCCGTGGGTATAAATTTTCCTTTAGGTACATTGTTCGCGTAATCTTGTGTGTCTACATAAGGTCGGTATCTTGCTACAACAGCTGTGCAATTAAAATTGTCCATTGGGAATGTGGCGCGGCCAATGCCCATTTGCTGGCTGGACCTCCACACAAGCCTGCTGAATGGCTTTCCTTTATCGCTCATGGGCAATGGTTCATCAAAATTCCAGAAGCACACTGTGGAGTACCTGCATGAATTATATAGCAATAATTAGTCACCTAACCGCACGTCGGTCCGTCCGTCCATGCACCAGTCTATAGGTCCGTCGTCCACCCGTCCGTCCGCACCATAGGGTAACCAGTGTGAAATCTCACACCTTCTAGCTAGTGTGGGGGCCTACTTAAGCAATAGACCACACTTTCTATGGGTTTACCGGCGTGATAACCCACGCGGGATGTTGGGAGAACACGAGGAAAGCTTGTAAATCACGAGCCGAAGGCGAGTAATTTACAAGCTTTTCGAGTGTTCTCCCAACATCCCGCGTGGGTTATCACGCTGGTAAACCCATAGAAAGTGTGGTCTATTGCTTTTATAAAATAACTTTTAGTAGAATGGAGTCTTTTAGGTAAAAAAATATGAATTTAGTACCGTGATCAAGTCATGTCTTCTCTCTAAAGTCATCATAAGCCAATCATGACTCACGATTAAATAGCGCTGAACTTTCTCAAAACTCACCTCAGTCAAATAACAAACAGCAGCACTTCGAAACACGAGTTTTTGCACTCATTACATGATAACTTATGAAAGCTGTTTTACAGGAAAAGTCAACATTTATTCATGCAAACGTGCAATGAAAGAATACGTTCATGGTTTGTTTACTACAGAAGTAGAAATTAATTGAACATCCATATCAGACTGTACGCAGCTGTATTTTGTTGAGTCGACCCGTAAGAATTTCGTGCTTACAGACGGAACTGGCAGTTATTGTAATGGAGGACTTCATTCACATTTTACAAGCCGCAGTGGTTTAAGATCTGTTTTCTGGACTTTATTATGATCAAGAAATGCTGCGGTAACAACGTGGCTGCATTTGCGAAGTTGTGGCATGTAACTTTATATGCACGTACAGCGACCGATGGAAATATGTCAGTGGTGGAGAAAGGTTTCTTTGCCGTAGCCACATATTGGCGTTAATATTTGTCGATTTGTGAAGTCAGGTGGTTTGAGGTAAGTTATGGCATCGAAATCACCGAATAATTTGTGCAAATGTTGGAAAAAACCAGCAGGAAACTCTGACATCTTTCATCATCGTTGGCAGCTTGTTTACAACCTACAGCGGCCGATTTTGTACCATATCTTGATCAGAGATCTCTTTTTGCAACAATTTCTTTCATTAAGGAATTTAATTTTGACATAAAATAAATCAAGAATGCTAAAACTATTCGTTTTGTTGCTGGTTGGCACATGGTTAAGTTTTCCTAGAGACTTTCTACACCAGAAATTCACACAGTTGTTGTCTTTCTCTGCGATTTGGCATCGTCGTGAAATGTAAACTGCTTTCCAGCTTTGTACTTTATAACTTCTAAAGCTATGGCAGTAGCGAATTGTGACGCTCAGTAATAAAATGTGAAAACCAACGCTTTTAATATTAAGGAGGACTGGGTAAGTAACTTGTTCTGTTTAGCCTTTCTAAAATCGTTGTTTGCAGATCAATAGCAAGTTTTGTTTATGACTCGTGCTCCGGATGCTCTTTTCTATGGGTTTACCGGTATGATAAACAATAGGTTTTTGACCAATCAGATCACGCGTACCATCTCCGTTATTTTATAAAACCTGATATTACACATCCACGCTGCGATCAATTGACAGTCTGCCACATGACCGTATCGCGAGCTCGAGTGTTAACTCACAGAGACCACTTTTTTTTTCTAAGTTAGTTGCTGAGAAGTTACTAGTTTTTAACTGATCGCAGGCTCATCCCAAGTGGATGTCTTATGGTTACAAATTTATTGTTTGAAGTAAATTAAAAATTAATCAACGGGAGCTTCGCCTTTAACCTTGGCTAAATCTATATATTATAAGCAGGAGCCCATAAACTGGAGCGAGCGACTTCCATGTACCTGAGTCACAGCGTTTTCACGGACCAGGATATTTTTGGAACGGTTCTAGCGCGAATTTAGAATATCTTTTAAGTCCCAGAAACCAGCAAAACCTAGAGACCTAAAAATAGTAATTTTTGCCTTTCAATGACATTACGTTTTCCTTTTTGATACCTTATACTTCGAATGCGTTCAGAGACGTGGCGGAGATTCCATTTTTGCGGAAGAAATGTCCCTAAAATGTGTCTAAAAATAAACCGGTCCGTAAAAACGCCGTGACAATTAGGCCTAGTATGAGAGTTGCTCGCTCCGGGTTATAGGCTCCTGTTATAAGTTGATACTAATCGATCGATGGATGGATGAATGGATGAGAGGTAGGGAGAGAGAGGGAAGGGATGCAAGATTTGTGCGTTCAAATGCTGAAAATTCAGATCAAACCTACCATTCTTTTTCAGCTTCAAAAGCCGACACGCCCTTAGTGAAAGCTTTGCAGCGTAAGAAGATGTTTTCTGACTGTCCAGGACGACTTTCTATTGGAGAATGTTTAATAATCCATTTGTTGGCAATTTTCTTCGCGTATTCTGCGGCCTCGAGGCTAAGTTGATGGTCTAGTTGAAGTAACGGTGAGTCGTGTAGACCTCGATGAAGATTATGATACAATAGTGCCTGTACTTCAAATGGCGTTACATCTGAAGGAATTTAAAGATAAATGGGGCGGTTTGATTGCTTTCAACATTGTATCAAAGAAACTTAAAGTTTTCTTTTTTGTTCATATAAATATATATTATTTTTTGAGAACACTTGTTTTAAAATGAGTCTCTTTTGGTATGGCGTTTTTTATTTAGGTGCCAACCAAGTTACAAGTGCAATCACGTTTCCGTATTTCTGTTTTCTTTGCAGTTTCTTCCCACGTTAATTTTGCTTAAAAAGACAAGCATACTTTCAGCCCATCTCTTCACAGTGATATAAGTATGCTATGATTTCTTGAAGTCTGCCATTACTTTTATGTGAGTATTTTTTAAAGGTGGTTGGTGATGACAATCCGCCATACCTTATCGTAGTACATGTAGGTGTACAGGTCTTCACTATAGCAATCGCCTGTCACCCACTGTCATCATTAACTTTTACCAGTAGGTGAAAGAAAAATGGTGGCATCATTCCCCCATTTCCCATGAGGAGCCAGGGGATAATAGAGAACAAAACTGGGATGTGATACCACGATAAAGTTTCACGCCTTGGCTTTCAAAACAGCTATTCCTGATTCAGATGATGAAATCAGTCAAAACAAGCAAACTAGCAGGGTAAGTCATTTGGCCTGAGGTACCCATTCATCAACCAATATTGATTTCTTTTGTTTGGTTGTCCTTTCTTTTTTTCAGAACCCCTTTACAAATTTTCTAGCATTCCTGCAGGCTCGATTTACGCCGTTCTCCCGAACGGCGGCAGCAATCGAGCCTAGCCTTCCCGATAGGGAAATTAAGGGATTAAAATTTCATTAAATTTTTAGGATTAATTTACATTAACGTTTTGGAGGATTAACTTTTCCCATGATCTTTACCTTCTGTTTTTGGTTCCATTTCAGGTTCAGTTTTGGCGACAGGAGGCTGATCATGCTGGTACCAGTTGTACACGGGCGCCATTCTGTAGTAGGGATATCGATATGGCTGGTTGTACTGGTAACCTATTCGAAAGTACAATATGAGGCTTTTTTTCAGCTACATGTATCCTTATTTTTGAAAAATCTCAGACCTCCTATTTAGTTTGGAATATTAGATCGAACTATTGACAATTTTGTTGAAAGCACAGTGGAAAAAGTAGGACAATCGATGGTTCAAAAGTATTAAATGCAGACAAATTTGGGAGTAATTTTTTGCGATAGTGAAAATGGTGGCTAGCTTATTAATAAGCGTCGTTGTTAGTTTCATTATATGACATCGCGGATTTAAAATGTGATTCTGCGAATGTCACTGTGTTTTCTTTGTTCACATGTCGCGGAACGTTACGAGATATTTTGAAAAGAAATTTCACAAATATATTATATATAGGATTGTTATTGGACATGGATTTTTAGCACGAAAGAGGTAGCAGTGACCATCAGAAACCAGCAGACGAAGCATCACTTCCACCCCATACCCCGTAAAAACTGTGCATGAGTCTGTTTGACACTGCGAACAAAGCAACACTGTGAGTGAAAAAGAGCAAGTAAACTTTAAAAACAAAGTCCTAATAAGTCATTTTCTAATGAACGAATGCAGCAGAATCACTGTTTCATCGCACTGGTTTGCTATTTACTGTGATTAAAACACAAAGAGACGGTATATGTACATTGCAGGTGGTTCCGTTTGAAAGGTTACACGAACACGACAGCGACGGCAATGGGAGCTTTTACTGCGCTTTTCAAAACTACGCGAACTCTGAAGTTCAAAAGCCGCCTTCAAAATTTTTTCTCCGCCGTCAATCGTAATTACGATCACAAGCAACGAACCCTGAAATCACAAATCACAAACCTTTTGGGGCCGTTGAAGTAAACTTCTGTTTTCTTAAGACGTCCGCTAAGATGATTGACGGCGGCGAAAAACTCAAACGTCAGTTGCTTTTTGAACTTCAGAATTCGCGTGTTTTGAAAAGTTCAGTAAGAAGAAATAAGTTCAATAAGCAACAATTGTGTGCTATCCACGGCGCTCTCTTTGCTGGCGCCCCAGGTCTACGACCGTTGCCTAGAAACTCCTAATTTATCACATACTGAAGAAGCCAAACCGGAAGAAGCCCAAGACTACAAATTGTTCCAGCTTTGAACTTGCACAAGGCATTGACAAATCAAAACTCGACCGTGGGATCCAGAATTCTCCAACACGGATGAGTGAGTTGGAATTAATCAACATAAAAGATCAACACAACCGCTAAAAGGCACTTACAAGTAAAATTTTTGCCGTCGTAATTGTCATTTCCCTGAATTACTTAAACTACCAGAATATATAAATAAATGCCCAATTCATCTAAACTTACTGTGCTTTTAGATATATTAAAAATAAAACGTCAAATTAACAAAAATATGTCCCAAACACGGGCTTTGGTTCAATATCATCGAATCTTTTGTTCGATCAGTACCGGAACAAAATACCGGCCTATTATCCGCCACTCGTGGCAGTTGAAAGAGTATTTTAACGAAATATCTATAAGGAATATGATGGCAAAACTCTTACCACGATATACTTGTCCTTTTGTGCTCGTGAACAGCGTCAAAACTGAGGCGATCCACACAATTTCCTCCATGATGTGAGTTACCTTGAATTGACAGTTAAATTAGTTAAACAAAAACAGAATGGGATAGTATTTTTCACTTTTCGTAAATAAGCCTTGTGTTGTGAATAACTCACCTTAAACCTAACAGCTAATTGATCGGGTAAAAGTCACTTTTTACTAGTGTGGGAGGGTAACAACGGGCCATTCATTATAATATCAAATTTCACATTATGATTTTCACATCGCCACCTGTTGTTGGGGAGGGATTCCACCCGGCTTCCTGCACGCATGTGACTGTTGCGATAATGTTCAAGTTCCATTTGAATTCCCTACATTTAGCATAACGAAAGGTCTGGTCGGCTTGAAGATTAACCAATTACAAAATACAAGAACGTAGATGCTTTCAAAAACACTTGGTTTTCCAGTAGAAATAAAGGAGCCAAAAAACCAAGACAAAGTATATTAATAACTCGCTCAGCGCTAGGAGTCGACGTACGATCAGATATTACAATAATCCCTTACTGATCAGCTTACCTGTACGTTACGGGGTTTTCAAGCTTCGCAGAGATATCAGGTTATGAAAGTTGAACGGTACAGATATTGAAGTATATTTTAAGTCAACCAAATGCGCTCATATTTAAAGTACATTTTCCCTGTTCGTAACAACGCCCATGAAAATACCCGTTTTTGAATTTCGTTTACATCTTGACTGGTCATCAGATAAGCACACAAGTAGGTGGTAAAATCTAACTGGTTGATTATGGTTTGTTTTGATTCTAAGAACCAAAACAATTTATGTAGATATTTAACCTCAAAAATGCTAAATGAGCTCCTCACTGACTTACGATTGCAAGAAAACGTAAGGGAAAATCTTCCATACTAATAATTTACTTACTTCAAGTTAACTATGTTAAGTTATTTCCGCCGAGTCGTGAGTTAGAAGCCCCGTACTGTATCATCCAAGTTTCCACCTTGTTTATGAAACTGAATTGTTACAAGCGAATTCAGTGTTTCTCTACTCGTCCGAGAGTTCAAGATATTTATATTATGTTTATCGGGAACTAAAATGAAAAATAGGTTTCATAACAGTCGTGAAATCCAGAATCCTTCTGCCCATTGTACGTGCCTCTATTATAGCGGTTCACGATGGACCAATGTTAAAACTACCTGAGAAGTCACCTACTGATCGCTGTACATGCGTCTTATTCGACCACTGGGTCACCTCAACTGAAATTCCGAATGTAATTTTCTCTAATATGCCTTGGACCATTTCTGTATCTCAGTAATAACTCTATATCGTTTGTCGTTTCCGTGGTATCCCACCTTTTCACAGTGGTATGGTTTGAGTGCTAAGAAATTTCCCCTTTTTTACTATAATCGCAGTTATTGCCGTACTCTTATTATTCCCATTTATTTTGTCCTTGTCAATCTGTTCTTATAGGAAAACGTAAATGTACTTGTTTTCTTCCGATGTCAATGTTTCACTTTGAGTTGCCTTTGTTTTCGATCACGTCTCTATTCAGTATTAACTGATGTTGCCTCTAAGTTTAAGTGCCTCAGTATAACTAAATGGAACAGGATTTCTGATCCATATGTAGTTCATTTAATTATAGATCTATTCATGAGGAGGGAATATCATTAGAGTAGAATTAAGTAACGTTTAAAAAACGAGCAGCAGTGATTTATCACGGGTTAAAAATTCGATCGCGAAGGATAATGTTGTTGCTTGTAACGCTTTTCATTATTCCAGGAGCTAAATTTTTCATTTTTCTCAGTTAATAGTTAACATTGATTAATCTCAGCTAAATTTTTTCGCTCAATTTATGCGGGCGACAAAGGGAGCCCCCAGCCTATTCTTAGGCAGCAGCACTCTATGAACTGTATAGCGGGATTTTTTTTTCCGAGTCTGTCCACATTCTTGGAATGCCCGTGTCGTACCGACTTATATGCATGGTATGTGGTCGCCAAGGCCCTGGTGAGGAGTTTACGGTCCGTCTGATTTCCCCGTAACACTCTTTCTCCTCCCCATCCCTTTCCCCAATGCGGAGCCTGGTCCCAGGCTATCACGGTAATCACGTGAACGCACATGCAAGTGATACAACAATCATTATTACAGTCGGTAATTCAGGTTCCATTCAGGAACACAAGTACTGTACTGAATGGGAGACTTTTTGATTCGCCTTGCCGGCCTGGAATCTATTTACGGTAGAAAAACGAAAGTAGAGCCTGATCTCAGCTTAGTGCGGGACAAGCTTACGGTAAGATAAGATTGTTAGTAAAGTCTAGAAAGCGATTTAATTTTAAAGTTTATTCAGGTTTCACTACGTGGTTTTGGTGCATGGTTTTATAATTATTTTTATACTTTTCCAAGCATGTTACGTTGCTTGCCATAATGAAGCTTCAAAAAGCTTCGAACTCCAGCGATATTTTAGCTTTAAGCTGTCTGTTTCTCTTTTTTCTTATTGCATGTCAACGGCCTTTGGTCAATGAACACGGATTGAATATTCGATTAAATAATACGATTTTGTGCAGTCATGACTGTATACACGCATTAATTGTGTCACGCATTACTGTTTCAATGTATCTTTGCCGGCGAATACAGCCTTCTCTTCTCACTCCTCATCATTCGCAGGGTAATTGTATCTAGTGAATAAAATCGATGAATTTAAAGTATGAGTCTTGTTTACTGCGTTGTTCAATCCAGTTTTCATGATCCGCAGTGATTCGTTTTGTTGACATTGGAACTGAAAGGGCTTTCTCTGATTCACCTACACAATTATGAAAGCCGGGTTTTCATCAATCACATCTCCAAGGTTAACCCACATGTTCGCCCGCACTTCCTAGCCAACTGCTACCTGCTAGTATATTCTTGTAATTAGCATTCAAAAAACGCATACATTAATTAGTATCAACGAAAGTCGGAAGCGTTTCCAGCAACATGATTGTTTATATAAAGCACCGTTATTCCATGACTTAATTTTCGAAGTGCCTTTACCCACCAGTGACTAAGTGAAAAATGTAGATAAGTTTCGGATTATTGTATAGAAACTGAGAAAATAATGTTCAAAAGCGTATTTGGATCCGAAAACAAGAAATCTCATTCGGCAGCTTAAGTTTAGGGTGGACTCTGGGGGCGACATACATGTAAGATATGTGACTGTTCCAAGAAAACGATTTGTCTACATCACACCAAGGTTCTTGAAGGATCCCTCTTCTGTAGAATCGAATAACCGTAAGATATAAGAACGTCTCTGGCAGTTTTTACTACTCTGTGTGATGTAATAACCATCATCACCGTCTTTTTCGAGCTGCAAATAAGACCTCTATTACAGAACCAATGGTTTACTTCGCTCCGCTCTAGGTACTCGCTCCCACACTCCTCAGCACCTTTTTCTCGCTACTGCCATTCAAAGGTATTGTGTGTACCTTCACACTAGAAGTGATGGAAACTTCTTCCTTCTTGCACACCTCCGAGTAAAGACCAAGGATCGGAAAGTATTGATAAGGGAGATGCTGTTTTCAGATGGTACTGTCCTAACCGCACACACTGTGGGTGCTTTACAGCGTCTCATGAGCTCTTTCGCACACACTTGTAGCGAGTTTGGCCTCACCATCTCTCTTAAGGAAGACCAACATCCTTTGCCAAGACGTCACCAGCACCCCAAGCAACGCCATTAGCATCAACACTCTTGAGGTGGTGGAAGGTTTCACTTACCTACAGTCGTAAGCTCCACCATTTTTAGCAGCTGCCTCTTCCTAGACTCGGACAGTGAACAAACGTATCGGAAAAGCAGCAATAGCTCTAGCACGTCTGGGAGAGAGGGTCTGGGACAACACGGTGTTGACCATCAGCGCCAAGATGAAAGTGTACCAGGTCTGCATGTTCAGCGCGCTGTTCTATGGTAGCGAGACATGGACCCTCTACTCCCACCAAAATCAAAAGAGTAGACACCTTCCACCTGCGTTGCCTCAGCAGGATTTTCGGCATCACCTGGCAAGACCGACTCTCAGACAATTATATCCTAGCTAAGGCGGGAGTACCTCGCATGAGCGCTTTCCTCAGACAGAGACGACTGCGCTAACTTGGCCATGTCAGCCGTATGGAGAACCGAGAATACAAGGACATACACTACGGCATTCTCTACAGTCTTGACAGAGACTGCCTTCTAGAATCGGAATCGGATTGTACAACCACAGCAGGCGCTGCAGCTCAACTACTGACTAAACCATGGCGCTGATCCCATTGCCTCCAGAGACAGACGGCTGCAACAACAACAATGGTTAATTATTTTTATATCCTCGTTAATTCTCTCCTCAGCCTTGCCAACGTCTGTGGAACTAAACTGAATCGCGGTATCATTTGCAAATAGCCCAACATCAGAATTGTGACATGTTTTGGATATGTTGTTTGTGTGAATATTGAACGAAGTTGGACCCAAGACTGACCCCTGCGGGACTCTAAAACGGAGATGCCGAAGCTCAGAAGCAGAGTCTCTACATAAAAAAAAATTGAGATCTACCGCTAAGGTAGCTGTTAAATCACTAAAGAGCGTTCCCTTTATATCATATGATTAACGTTTGGCAAACAGTATATATGTCATGCTCAATGACATCAAACGCTTTGCTTTAAGCATAATAACTAACTTAACAACTTTATCTAACAACTTTACCTATAAGCCTTAATGGTTTCTTGAGACTTCCTCACCTTTTGAAGTTAGTCATTTCAAATTGGGTATTTTATATGTAATTTAATTATGTTTTCTTTCTTTTATATCTGAAAAAGGTAAATCAACAGTAAACAATAAACAGTGATGAAAAACGCAGAGAGACTTCGTCGTCAATAGCAAATTTCCATGCCATTGTTATTTTAGGCGAATTGATGCTGTTCAATGAGGAGACCGACCCCTCGTGTGCAAAATCTCGTAAGTCAATGTAACAAAAGACTCCATGAATTTGGAAACACAGGGCAATACCGAAAAAGGCCCATAATTGTCACAGTCGATTGGTGAGCCTCCTTTGAACGGTTGAACCTTAGCTATTTTCCAGACAGATACAAATTAACCAGTGCGAAAGGATTCATTGAAAAGGTAAGTCACACTGTGACTCTTACTTTGCGTAAATCCTGTCACATCCCATGCTTTGGCTTGATTGAGCTCCTTAAGGGCTTTAATAACTTATATAACTTACTGTATGTCCTGTATGTCCTGATGTCAGAAGAAACAGCCTCTGGAGCCGTTTCAGATGCGAGATCGTGACGGTTAGCCAATAAAATTAATGCGATGGAGGTAAAAAAAAAACTATGTTCATGGCATTAGCGATAGCCTTCTCACAGGTTACTTGTTTCTCATTTACGATACATACAAGTCACGTGATAGGCACCTTTTGAGTAGCCAGATTTCTTAACGTGCGGTACTCTTTGTAAGGCTCAATGTAATCTGCCACACTTACATTGTAAAGTCGATAACAAGGAAAATCCAAAGAGAGCTTATTTTTCAGGTCGTATTGTATCCAATACTAGCAATTGTTTTATGTCTTTGTTAGGATGACTTTATTTATTATTCCTAATTACTAATTATTACTATAATTATTATTATTGTTGTTGTTATTATTATAATTTTTTATTGACTTTAATGCCAATAACCTAATATGTACAACATACTCACAGACCATTAGTAGTAGTATTTCCTCGTACGCCCGAGTCCAGTAGAGGTAGCTGTAATCCCTTCAAACATGCGTTCAGTCAATTTTATGAATTTATAATGTAAAGGACTAAGGGCAAGATACACGGCCGTAAATGTCAGGAAAAAGATCCCCTTCTTGATCGGGAAAAATAGTAAGAAAGAACAAACTGTAAATTCAAACAAATGCCAAGGTCACAAGGCCAGTGAGTTTTAAACAGACGCTGAAGCATTTTATTGAGAAAATTATTTTTTTCATGCTGAGGATTCTATATATAGAAGCTAAAGAAGCTAAGCGCAACGCTTCACTGATGACGTGTCTTTTTCCAGGATTTGCCGTGATGAATTTTGGATCGTGGCGCTAGGTGCCTGATAATCGTTTCTTTCTTTGACGCTGCACAATCCCTTGCACTATTGAATGAACCTTGAGGAACATTTTCAGCGTATTTTCCCCCGTAGTTTCCCGCGGGTTTGTACCGACCCACAATGTAAGTACATTTCATTCCGTTCTCGTCAGTTTCAGCCATTCCAATGCCCAGCTTAGTACTCCCTTTCCACACCACTTGAGAAAAGTGACCTGCTCCTGGTGAGCCAGTGTCTTGGCCGAAAGTGTATCCTGGGTTGCATACCTCCATATACCTGAATTAAAACGTAATGATTTTAGAGATAGTAGACTTTTTGTGCTATAGTAGATGATATTGTATCGGAAAGGTATTGTTTCCTTGTATACTCCTTAAATCTGTTGATTATCGCATTTTCAAATGGGGACTCATTTTTTTTTTGTTTAATCTACGGTAAACAGGCAACAAAAACGTGCAACTTGTTTAGAGGCATTGCAGCTGCAAAACGAGTTGTAGCAATGTTGGCATTTTACCACCCACCTTCAAACCTGTCTTGTAACAAATTAGGTTCTTGTAGGTTGCGTGAACCGGACTTCTGATTGGATAAAATTACGCGGGAATCACTCTATACACGGGAGTTACGTCGCTTGCCGCAAAACAAGTTTGTCTTGGGAGGGTAAAACGCGCGATATGTACAGATTCTGTGGCAAAAAGTAGAACTACTGCAACCTGCAACGACCTGATATGATGCAAGACAGTTTAACGTGAGTGGTAAGTATTGTTTTCCAACTCTTTTTGCAGCAATTTTGCTAAACAAATACTAGTACTTGTTACCCATTTTTACCGTACCTTTAAATCAATGGTACTCGATCGCTATTTGCGTAACGCCGGGATAATCGATATTTCTTTAGAAAAAGAAAATATTTATCAGGGCATGCAACTATTGTTGATATAAATTTAACCTAGGTAGAAGAAGTTACTTCCTTAATAGCTGTTCATAGTAATTGCTACTTCATTCATTCATTCATTCATATATTGCACGGTATTGCACGTTTATGATCAATCGCGGCAATCGTATTGTGATTCTGTTTCATTTATACTGCTGCAGTAAGAAAATTGTGTACCATGCTCATAGCGAGTGTTACGAACCTTACTCGTTTTGTCACATTAACATTTTGATTCAAAACATTATTCAAGCCTTTTGTGTATTTTACCTCTACACATTAGATTAGATTACCATGATTATGGGATACAGTAAGCATCAACGTAGCACAAAAAATAGCATGTTGTACTCCCAAAAACACCCCTACCTCCCCACAACGGCCACCTCTCCACACCCGTCACTTTCTTCTGTCCCCAAGGTGGCAGTTATGGAGAGGTTCGACTGTATTTCCGTTTTTTTCCTACCAATTTTTTGTAGCCTCCGCTGCTTTCTGGCCATCATGGTCACACCCCATGGACAAGTTCTCCCCGTTATTGTCTCTCTCACTTGAACTGGCGTGTTTGAGAGTCCCTGCCTTAGCGATCTTCTGTGCATATCGAGTGGCCGCTGCACTCATTTCAGCATCAAGTGTCATGGGTGGAACTCCGTGTCTTTGGCGAAATTTATTATGTTCATTTAATGCTTCCTGTTCAAAGGAGGATCCTCCTGGAGACAAATGAAAATATTATTTAAAAACAAGTTAGTCTTAAAAAAAGGTTCTGAGAAATCGAATGCTTTAACTCACACGGTGAACTGAAGAAACAAAACAAAATAAAGATTACACAAGGAATCGTCTAAAGGTAACACTTGTAGTTATTTTCTGGTTCAATATTTCGTAAGACTTTCTCGCAGTCCGTCGTATTGTATAAATACATCGTACTCGTACTCCTAAACAAAAGTTTCCAAGTAAGAGCAAGGACAACGATCGTAAAAAAAAGAATTGGAAAGGATGTATACAGTTGAAATTATTGTGATGATAGATGTCCAAAGGACGGAGTATTGTTTATTGTTTTACCTCCACCTCCACCACCGGGCTGTCCGGTAGTCGCAACTGGAGGTTTGGTTCCACTGGGAATAGGCCCCTGAGAAGGAGTTATTCCACCACCAGCAGGTGAAGTAGCAGTTGTGGCTCCTCCAGGCCCAGACGCAGGCCCATTGGTTGGTGTAACACCTCCTCCAGAAGTTGTAGGAAGAGTGGATGCTCCTGGGGTCCCGGGTTTAGGTGTTCCGCTAGGACCTTGAGTTGGCTTCGTTTGAGAACAGGGCACAGGACAGAGTGCAGGCTTAGGTCCTGTGGAGGGGTTGGGGGTTGGAGTCCCTCCACCAACCCCGGGTCCACCCCCTGTTCCAGGCCCTCCACCAACGCCTGGGCCTCCACCACCTGCACCGGGTCCTCCACCGGCGCCTGGGCCTCCACCTGCACCAGGTCCTCCACCGGTGCCTGGGCCTCCACCACCTGTACCGGGTCCTCCACCGGCCCCTGGAACTCCTCCACCCGGGCTAGGACTTCCGCCCGTACCAGGTGCCGCGCCAGCACCACCTCCAGGGCTGCCTTGTCCGTTGGTGGATATTTTTAAATTTAGATCAATGTCGACACCATCTGACCCAATTTCATACACACCCGCCCCTAATCAAAAGAAAATGAAATAGTATGACTTTCATGTACGTAGGACTGTTGAAGAAGCGACTCATACCCCATTCAACATAGCTCTGGAATGTAACCCATTTAACAACATTCTGCCCTCTTCAACGTTCGACCGGCTTGTTTATTTATTTATTTGTTTATTTTTTTGCATTTTTTTTTAACTTATGCGAGTCTTAGTTCTCCCAGTAGAATTTGGTGGAAGCTTATGCGGGACCTATATAGATTTTCTGGAAGTTAAGGGAAAAGGATATTTATACTGCGACCAAATCAAGAACAAAAATACTAAATCAAGAAAAAATACAATGTTACGCTGCGTGTCGCCAGTAAGGTCTGTTTGTCGAATGAAAAAGACGCGGTAGAACAATGTTGGGATAATTTGCCATGCGAGTGGCTATTAATAAAAATGTCTAAGAGCCCTGCTCCTGTGACGACAGACATTTCACAATATCACAGTCGATGAAGGTGGGGATATATAAAACGCCCACCAATTTGATGAAAGCTAAAGAAAGAACTGTAACGATGTGAAAGGAGGCAGCTGTGGTGGCGGCGTGAGTGAAAAGGATTTCGTGATTTATAGACTTAAGCTGATTTTCGCACGACTGCTAGGAGTTTAAGGATTGATTGTTAGAAACGTACACCTCCTTTTATCCGATCCTGCAAAATAGTGCCTAGATCTAATGACATGTCACGTGGTAGTCTCAGAGTGAGACCAAAAACCCACTTGACCACTACGTACTTCACAGTATTTAATCGCGTTATAAAATATCAGTAACTCGGCATTCTTCTAATGAGATCTATTACACAATTTGATTTAACTTGAAACAAACGTTAATTTGTGCTTAGAGTAGGAGAATCACTATGTGTATCATGATAAAATATGTTCCCCTGGCGATTCAATTAATCTCTAGCTTTACATACGAACAACTCCAGAGGAAGAATTGCTATGTGTAACATGATTAGATATGTACCCGTGGTGATTCAAATAATCTCTGGCTTTACATACCAACAACTCCAGAGTCATCAATTTTAAAGGCTCCAGTCTTTAATCCTGCTCCGTCATTAGACGGTCGAGAGTCTCCCAAAGGAAGGCCAACAGCAGAAAAATGTACAGGACGGAAGCCAAGGTTCCCTCTCTTTAGTTTTCTATGTTTTGGGAGTCTTTCAGAATTTACAACAGCTACAAAAATAACTTAAGGGAAAACAATTTAAAGAAAAAAATAATTAGGAAGTAACACAAACCAGAAAATTAATTTTAATTAGCTTGCTCTTTCTTTCCAGAGAGGTTTGAAGCAAAGAATCTACCCCATTGACTAAATCTGACATAACTCAGGTAGAATATTTTCTTTACAGTTTAAAATAAGGGTTGAAAGAGAAGTTTTTAAAAACAGTGAGAGCGTGTAGAGCTTCTCTCACATCTCAATAGAGCATTGATTGTATGAGCAGACTTGCCCATCCCAAAAGTCGACTTTTTTGAGCGACGGAAGTCGTGAAAAGTCCCTAAAAAGTCACCGATCAGGAAAAAAGGGAATTTAGATAGTCTATATGTGACATACCTAACAAAGAGAAGGGGATATATAGCACTGCGAACAACTTCCGGGTTTTGAGTTTCATCCTGAGTCATGGAAGGCCGTGTGAAATTTCTGTGTTACTTGTTCTCTTCCAAACCTATGAAAAAACAATAAGGAATACAGAGGAAAACCTTGCATATACATTATTGCGCCTTCTTAGAGAATCTGGCAACTTTGGTTAGTTTATACGTTACTCTTTATCTTTAGGTCAGAATCCAGTGACGCTTGTGGTTTATAGGAATGAAACGTGGAAGATGAATAAGGGAGACAATAAGGTGATCAATGCGTTTCACAGCAATTGTCTTCGGACGATTCTGTGCATCCGATGGCAAGACAATGTCAGAAAAGGGAAGTTGCTCGAAATGGCAAAAATGAAGCCGTTAATTGCTGAAGTTATGTCAAGACGATTGAAAAGGATTAGTCTTTCCCTGAGATAAGACAGACATAGATTGAAACGTAGTATTAACCAGGAAGCCAGAGTGGAAGAGACGAAGAGAATGACGGCAAAAAGTAGTTGGACGAGAACAGCGGGAAAAAAACGAGGGAGGCGGGTTGGGGCTCTTGGAACGAGATGCGAATAGTAGCTGACAGAGAGAGGTGGGAAAATTCCATGAAGGTCTTAATATGTGCCCGAGGCACGACGAGAAAAGGCGAGGGTTAAGTTAAAATCTCTTAAAAAGACAATTTACTGTGCATTATATATATAGCAAGAAATGTTATTTTTACATTTTTTGCCTGGCATTTTCTGCCATATTAAATCAATCCTTATCCTTAGTGTATATGAAGTAACTTCTCGTGAACAAAAACGCATCGTTTAAGAATAGATTCCAATAAAAACGTCTGGCTTCTAGTCTTTAACTAAATCATTAAACGCACATATTTTTTAACATTATTTTGGCTACAGTCGCTCCGTAGGCAATAATATATAAAGCACCTAAGACCACTTGACTTACCAGTAAAACACTTGACCCTATTTAGGACTCTCGTCTTACCCAATTGACTGAATGGGGATGTAAATCGTTCTTGAGTGGAACAAGATACCAACATACAAGTTACTCTCGACTGCTTTCGTTTGTGTTAAAGCAACCGTTTTAAAAATGAAAAATTAATGACTTTAAGGAATTTAACCCATTGTTGATTCTTAAACGATCGCAAGGTGCTTAAACTTAGATCCATAGGTGGCCTTAAAATAAGTACTTACAGTAGCGTCTGGTGTCAAATTGTCACAAGACAATGGCCAAGAAAAGCCAAGTCCGTTTTAAAACCTGAATTAGCCAAGACTTCCTCGGATTCCATCTCCACTATGTAATCTTGAACGCTCTGTTATTTTTCCATTATAATTTATAAGGTCTTTTGACACTTAATCAAATTGCTCTGAGCTTTATTTTTAAAACTTCAAAAGTTTCTTTTAAGGACAAAATATTTATTGCTAGAGCTTTTAGTTTGTTAAGAAAAGAAACTGTCTCAATTTTACCTATAGTAAGCAGAAGCGTTCTGGAAGACTTGATCCACTAGATTGTAAGCACATCGGTTCAATAACATGAATGGGAAGCACATCAATTTATATTTCGAAGCTTCAGTTTTTGAATCAGTGAAAGACCGTGTTCAAGGCCGGCGTTTAACGTTCGTACTTCCCTAAGAAAAAAGTTTAAAGTGATAATGAAGACTAAATAATGATGACCCAAACGGACTCGCAAGAACTAAATGCAAAGCTACTCCCTGGAAGCCTTTCTAATCGGCACCTTTTTTATACTTCGAGTTCAAAATGCATTCCAACGACCTACACGATTAAAAAGAGTGCAAATATGCGAAATGCTTGGAACACAATGAGTTAAGTTCACATTTGAAATCCTAAAATAAGACGCTCTTAGAGCGTTAACTCCGGCTGTACAGAGTACATTTCTAAGTTTATGCTTTTTATCCGAAAGTTATTTAGACATCAAAACAAGAAGATATTTTTAGTTTCTACAAGGAAGATAAGCAGAGTTGTTAATTAAACTGGGTTCTGCATGCTAAACAGGGTAATTATTACAAATTATTCCAAAACTAGCGCTTAGAAAACATTGTACTCTAAAATCGTGGAAATCTTTCATATACTCTCCACCCACAAAAATCATTGTGGGTGGCAAAGTCGTAGTCCACAAATTGTCCTGCCTCTTGAATTAAGAATCGCCAATTCTTCGTTTGCACTCGAATTGCATTTTTTTATTATTATTATTTTGGATATGGTTTATAAATGCTGTAACAGCCAACCGGGAGAGTTGAAGTTGATTAGGACATACGCGACTACTGTCTTGTTTAGTAGGAAACTATTTTCAGATGTTTCTTGTAGAAAGATATTTATTTTATTGCCAGTATAAAATTTGAACATTTTGAAATATTTCAAAAACTTGTTAAATTATTTTTTTTTAAAAAGACATAATTACATATTTGGAACACGATGAAAGCGGCTTTCAAGGAGAGACCCATTGAGCAATGTTTTAGGCATGGATGAAATAATTCCCTATTCCATCACTATGTTCACTTATAACAATTACTAAACATTGACGGAGAGGGAAAATGGGGACATAAATTCAGATATCGCCCGTGATACAGAACAATTTTACATCAATTTTGGAAACACAAGTTATATAATCGTCCTGGGATAACGTTTAACGATCTGTAGAGAAAAATGATATTTCATGTCACCATAACAATATACTTAACCAATGAAATTTTAATTCCATGAGTTAAAAATCAATTCCCTTTAGATCGTTTTAAGCCATATCCCCCGTCTAAGCCTGGCTTCTCAATGTAACTACAATAACGTTCATCAAAAGATCCCTTTTCCACGTTCTTTACGTAAGCATTGTCATCGTTCTCGAAGTTTCCTTGAGGATTATATCGCGCTACAATAAAGGTGCAAGTCGCCCCGTCTGGTTGTGTGTTGGAAGCTTTGCCAATACCCAGTTCCATACTTCCTTTCCAAACCAGCTGAGAAAAGTGGCTTGTCCCAGTTTGTGGACCTTGTTTTCCAAACGTATACCGACAAACCTCGTCAAACCTGCAAGTAAAGTGACCAATTTAAATTAAAATACCCATACCCAAAACAAGTGTTTGACAGACGAATTTTCATTTCACTTGTTTTCTACATACGAACTTTTACTTATGTTTGGCACAATACGCCGGAGTAAATTCATGTATTAGAAAATCAAAGGGAAATGGAATTGCGACAAGTATAAACCTGAATTTTTTAAAAATATATGCAGTCAAAACGCGATAATACGTCCACTGAGGGGGCCGTAAAAAATGTCCGTATCAACGGGGTACCCGTATTAAGCTGCTTCAATTTAGATAAAATGTAACAGCAAGCTGTCCATAATAACGAGGGGTCCGTATTAAGTGGGTGCCCGAAAACGGGGCTTGCCTGTTCTCTCAAGACCCGAAAATTACAAAAATAATGACACATACCATACTTTGACTGCTTCCTCAGCAGACTGCTCTCTGTTGTCATAGCAGCCAAGAGACAGGTTTTCCCCTTGCTCTGGTCTCTCGTTATAACCCGATGGCACGAGACTGTCCATGTCCGCTAGCTTCTGTGCATAAGCCGTGGCATTTCGACTCATTTCGCAATTTAAAGTCATTGGGGGAGCATTGTGAATAGCCCGGTATCTATTGTGTATATTGAGAGCTTCATATTCAAACTGAGATCCTATGGATAAAAAACAATGGTCAAAGGGTAATGTTTCAAGTTAAATCGAACGTTGTATTCTAGATTGCAACTACGCGAATTAAACAAGGTTTTTCTGTTGGTGTCATCGTAACACCACACTTTCGGACAATCTCAGACAGGGATGTTTACCGCTTCTGTCTTGATCTATCGTTCAGCTGACAGTAACCTATGATATTTCTGATATGGATCCATCGTTGAAAATGCTAGAAACTTAGTGAAAATTTCCACAAGAACAAGGTAATGTCTAACAGCACTCACCGACACAATTTTCTACTGCCGTCTTTGTATTGCTTGTAGTTGTGCAGGGTGCAAGACACATCTTGAGAGTTGTTATGGGAGGAGAAGGTCGAGGGGTCGATTTCATATTTTGTTGTTGCTGCTGCTGCTGCTGCTGTTGCTGACGGGATGGTCGTGCGGTTGAAAGTGCTTTTGGCTTTGATTGATGCCGTGTTGGAGGAATTGTTGAGGGAAGCAGCGTTTTTGGTGGCGATGATGGCAGCTGAGACGTTTGTGATGAAGTTGGTTTCTGCTGCACATGGGGTTTATTACTGACTTTGATTGTCAACTTTATCTCCACGTCAGACTGATCAGGAGATATGCTGTAAACGCCTTTTCCACTTACTTTTTCACCAGCTATCTTAAAATTGCCGCTCTTCCCACCACCATCTCTAGGTGTGAATTGTGAGAGCAGAGTCTGGATGTCTTGGTTTAAGCGTCTGCCTAGGCTTGCACTAATCAATCTTTGAAGATTCGCATGCAGGCCTTTTCTGCCATTTGGGAAAACCGGATTATATCGCAATGTGCTTTTCCAGGGACTATCCGTCTCTTTGTAGAGTTTAAAAAGAGGATCCGAAGGATGCTTAATCTGGCCATTGTAAGTATTATTAATGACAGAATTAATTGGAACCTTATTTCCGAGGTCTTTAAAGCCCTTTAAAAGGCGTGAAACTGCCGGAATATTCAATACGTTGTCCTCATTTGTTGGGTTAGATGAACTTCTTCCAGGAAATTGATCAGCGTCTGCTAAAGATAAAATGATTTCATTTCTTGCGTGTATATCAAATTGGGAAAATTACATATTCTTCGAATTAGCCTGCCTTCAGATGTCTCCTATTTCGTTTGTTGCATGCGCAAACAATCATTATGATTTGTTTCGACTGGAAGACCGCCCGCTAAATTTGGGTTGAATCGCCGAATAAATTATGTGATCAGTTTTTTATCTCAACCAATCAGAATCTATTTGACCAATGCTTATTGTGAGGCAGCCAATCACAGCCTTTTCTCAAGTCTTAGGAATTCAGCGGGATCAGGAGAATGATTAGCGACGGCGTTACACAGACCTCACCTTTTGCGTAAAACAAACGAAAGAGGAGACGTCTGAGTTCGTCTGCACACAGGCTATCGTAAAATCAAGGGAAGGTTTATTTGGATTGAAATACAAATCAAATATCACATAAATTAGTCTATTAAAAATAAAGGTTCTTCATTTGCTTCAAACTAAGGCCCGGTTCAGACGCCGAACGTTGCATCATCATGAGCCGAACTTAATTCGAATAAAGGCCGACCCAAATTATTTAGACCGGCTGAATTGATTCAGAAGCCGGTCTTACTTCCAGCCGTACTAAATTCAAAAGGAGAAAAAAGCTCATTTCGGTCAAACCAATTACAAAATACGTTATAATAATTTATGCATTAGGTTCGGTACATGAAAGTTCGGCGTCTGAAACAAAGCTGTTCCAAAGTCGCTCCAAAGGCGAAATTCCCGGCCGGGCCAGGCGAAAAGAACGGCTGAGCCGTTCCAAATTGAAACAGGCGTTCCTAATTGATTCAGACGCAAAACTTTTCATGAACTCAATTCAATGTTATAAGTTCCCTTTTATAAAACGTTCGGCGTCTGAACCGGGCCTGAACCGCAGAAGTCGTGCTTGCCTTCGTTCGCCTGAAAAACGCGAAAAACTAACACCTGTCCTGCGGGCCTTAAACAAATGTATTTACTGTCTTTGTTAAAGCATGCCTTTTCCATTAATGCAATTGAAGACGCTCATTAAAACATTGTATTAAAGCCGATTGCACTACATACCTGAATCTCTGTAAATGCCTTTTTGCGGATCAAAGTAGCAGTATAAGATTTAAGAAATTACTATGAGTGGTTATTGTTCTTCTCTTTTAATTCAAGTGACCTTCAATGTAATCTCAATGTAATGCAAGACGATAAGCCGATATGTTTACTCTTGTTCAACGAAATTAGCACAAAAAACACAGCTATACTATTTCTCTTCAATTCAAATTTGGCCCATAACAACAGAACTGCATACTACTTCAGCCACAACCAATGGAAAGTCAGCTATCAACGTTGAATAATAAGGGATATCCCAAGAAATTATCAGTTTTCGGTTTTCACCCTTCACGAGGAAATATTTTGATTGTCATTAAAAAGAGTTACAGTGACGTTTACAGCAAACGCCAAACGTCAGATTCAAGTTGAGAATTTCTCAAAATAGAAAACGCGCAGCTAAAAATTGTTCAAAACAATTGTTGTATACAAAACTAACGTAAAGCTACTGATTTTGGTTTAGAAGTAATGAACGGTAGAGCACAAGTGAAGTCACGTGGTACAAATTCACGTTTGCCGTTTGCCATGAATTATTTCAACCGAGTCTCGTTAAAAATAAATTTGTCGGAATATGTGCTTATCTAATATCAAAGTGACGAGCTAACCTGCGAAGAAGATGCAGAGGAGAAGCCAGTGTACTCTAAAAGTCAAAAACGTTCTCATAGTAATCAAATGTTAATTGATTACATTTCCATTTCACACTACCTGATCCCTTTAGTTAGTAAACATGGAGAGATCACCCCATGATTTTTCAACCCAATTCATGATATTTTCCTTCTTTGATTTCCTCTGTGGTCTTTTTTCACATTTTTCCACCTTATATTTTGATTAGAAACTTATAAGAAAATGTTTTTGTTGGGAGAATATGGATGGCCTTGCTCAACTCATGCATAAAATATGTGTCGCCCGGTGTCCATGGTATCTTAAACAATTAAGCACTAAAAGAAAAATCTGTGTCGCGGGTGTCCGTGGTCTCTCAAACAATTGCGTTCTTGTTAGCGACTAGCTCTTAATGCAAGACCGTTGTCTTTCCTTATTTGGCTGCTAACAAGTTAAGCATTCTATGTTTTTTTTTTACTGGTATGTATTTCAGACGCCACTGAGATTGGCACTATTTTGTCTAAATTCCCTTTACAGCAGAACAATTTCGCGTGCGCAGTTCACCTTTTTATAGGTTTCAATGTTTGAAGTGCTGTAACTACAAGAATCGGTAAAAGGAGATTATCCGCTTGAGACAGTAGCAGTATTGCCAAAAACAGAGGGCTTTCTGGACGCAGGTAAACCAAAAGAGAAAGAAACCATCAGATGGCCAAGCTATAAAAAGGACCATGGTCACGTATACTTTCATTACTTTACTTTTACTGGTCCATGTGGTTTTAATACAATTAATTTATGAAAGAAATAAACGTGCGAAGCATAATAACACTTTTTTTTAAGTTCTAACATAAGGAGACTAACAAATTTAACGTACATTTTACGCCTCGAATTCCATAGGGGCAATTTCACCGTAGGTGTATTTTTCTTTTAATCTGTTGCAATTAATCTGTCCTTTTGGCTAATACTACAAAAGCTTTTTAACTTTTAAATTATCGCAATAGCTGGGATCGAAGTTGCCTTTAAACACGTTTCTTTTGTATTCCCCTTTGTAGTTTCCAGATGGCTTAAAGCGTCCCACGACAAAAGTACACGGCATTCCGTTCTGCTGTCCTGACGCTTTTCCGATGCCAAACTCTGTACTGTCAGACCACACCAGTTGAGTAAAATGCCCAGAGTTCATGCTGAATTCTGATCTGTCGAAATCGTAGGCACATACTTCGTTGTACCTACAAACGGAATAACGACACATTAATTGTGTGTGCAAATTTTAAAACGAGCACTAGAAGTAAGGCGTACATTCACTGAGACTTCTTCAAAAGACCCCGGAGCTTACAATAGTAAAGAAGTGACCATCGAAAGCAAGTTAATAGTTATACAGCGACAGGACTAGCTCAGTTGGTACAGAGCTTGACTGCAGTGAGGGGGGTCGCCGGCTTGATTTCTGGGGTATAACCAACATTTAGGGTCGGAGAATTAACTGAGAAATCACCCTCACCAATATGGCCCGAGTTCGAATCCTGGCGTCGACGCCATACATGCATGTGGTGTCTACGTCTCCTAAAAAATTCAACACTTCCGAATCCCAATTCGATCTGGAACGCACGGACACGTTTGTATGGGTTCTTAAAAACTCCTAAGCGCTTTGTGAGTAAACAAATTGCAGTTTACAATTACTTAAAGAAATATAAGCAGTAGGAATTAAGATTATGACAGACACAAGAAGGTTCGTTCTTGCCAGTTTGTTATGGCTTCCTTGGCGGTGAGAGGCACCCCGATCTGTTTACATCCCATCACAAGATTCTCTCCTTCATCAAGTTGTTTTACAGCCGCATAGTCGTGTTGAAGTGAACCCATGCTGGCGATCTTCTCGGCGTACTCTTTAGCCTGGCGACTCATTTCTGGGCTTAACTTGATCGGAAGGGCTCGGTGAATCTTTCGGAATGCGTTTGTTACGGAGATTGCTTCATCTTCAAACTCTTTTTCACCTGTGGGTAACCAATGTGTCATGAATTTAGAAACATGATTGTCGAGATCATGCAAGGACTTATGTCAGGTCCTGTATCAGGCCTTACCAATTAAATGTTTCATTTCCAATTGCCAAAACGTTAGTTTTTAAAGCAAATGAGGGAGGATGTGCCGTTCAGACGGTTTGCCATATGAAATCCGTCATAACCCCATCTCGGTACAAGTTCTTCCGCCCTCTTGCACCACGGTGGATTTGAGATCCTGGTCGGTTTTGCTATTTTCTGATACGAAGCGAGATATTGCGCTGCTGTGTGATTTTTCGGTATTACACGATTATTTGACAATACTTTGACAAAATGTGACTTGTCCTAACTTTCATTTGCATAAAAACCTACGTAAGTACACCCGAAAAAGGTACCACTGCTATGATGTATAGTCTCCTATACTTTAGAGCCGCACTTATAAGATATAAGAAATTCCCGACTCCCGATATTAATGCATTATCATAAAGCGCCTGTTGTTAACCTTACTTTGTTCGACTATCTTTTTCCCATCTCCAATATCCCCTGCGAGTGACACATTTTCGGGCTTTTCTCCTCCCTTCTCGATGGACGGCGTATTTTCCGCCTTGTCCATCCCACTTTTACTGCCCTCAGGGTTTTTGAACTCTCCCAAGCAAGACACGGTTGTAACCACTTTCCCGTTCTCATTCAAGGAAGATTTCCAGTGACAGTTTGGTCCAATGTCTTTATCAGTCATTTGCTTGAGAGGTTCTCCTCCATTGTTTCCAGATTTCTCTTTTCCATAATTTTGTATTCCTGGGATGTTAAAAGGAAAATTCCCAGCTCCTTGCTTCACATCTGCAGTGTTTTCTTTTGTGCCATCCTTGCTATTTTCCTTCTCCTTCTGCCCATTTATTCCTTCTCCTCCTGAAATATCTGTGCCATGAAAAGCCGGACCCTCCTCGACTGCTTTTCCCAAAGATGTATTACCAGCGACTTTGGAACCTTCCTCGATTTCTAATGAAGAGTTAATAGAATTTTTTTTTCCATGAATGCCGATCTTTGATACCAATTTGATACCAACGGTAACTTAATTTAAAAGTGTCCTGAGATTATAGCCAGAGATTTTGCTTGCCCTGTAGTTGAGGAAGACTATTCCTGAGAACAGTATCACTGTAGCGAAAACTACTACGATTGTATATTTGTGTGTGGCTCTAGAACGGTTAGTTTGGAATGGCTAGTTTATCTGCAGAATCTACAAAAGTGTACGCAAAAGCAGCAGATGGACCACAGTAAATTTGGAGCTTAGGTTCAGGGCAGGCCCGGATCTAGGAAAAATACTGACCTATTTCCTAAACTGAACGAGCGCCGAAGGCGAAAGCTTTCAGGGAAATCCGGGCGAATGCTCTCCCTGGAAACTTTCTTAGATTTTAACTTCACTCCCTTAAGTCCCTTTTCCTGGTTTTCTGAGTCATTCAGACAGGATATTGGCTAGTTTCGTTTGCCTTGGATGAAGCCTTGCAACTTAAAAAGTCTTTTCTTGTTAAAAATATATTATGAAAACTCTGACCGATTTCCGTAAAACGGTGGAAGCCGGTGTGGATCCGCACCTGCAGGGACAAGGCCAATGAGGGATTTAGAAGCCATGTATTATGCTTTTTAACTGCCACCCTGAGTACTAACATTTTTGAAATTTGTAGTTTGAACAGTTGCAATTCAGCTTATAGAATAAACATTACAGTCGGACCCTTACTTGTGCTTGTGGCAGACGATTCTTTTTCTTTCTCTCCCTCTTTACCCAGACCTGCCGCAGCAAACTCTTTAGGTGATTTGAAAGTTGGCTTTGTTGACTGCGCACTATTCTCTTGTTTCTCCTCTAATATCGCTCCAGACGTAACGCTATTAGAGTTAGTTGACAGATCACCTGGCTCCTTTTGCTCTTGTTTGGGAGTTTGATTTGCTTCTGCAGCCTGGCTACCCAAGGGTCCTTGTGCATTAGAAGCTGTTTGATTCGCAAGCGTCTCTGTTGAATTATTTTTACTATCACCAGCTCTTGGTCTTTCGTGGAATAATGGACTTCCACTTACCAGAACAAAATCTTGGAGAGGAGTTGGAACAGATGCTCGCAAAACACCTGTCGCTGTCCGATGCTTTGCATGTGACTTTTGTGAGAAATGAAGGTCTTGGTGTTTATGGCCATGCCGGTTATGTTGCCCGTGGTGGCTTTTATGTGGAAGGGACAATCCTAATAACACTGTCATGAGTGAAGTAGATAGTAGTGAAAAGTTAGTTAAAAGTCAAAGTGTAAGTTTACATACAGACCAGATAACGTCCCTCGAAAGATTCATTGAAATTCCTGATATGTGTGAGCCTATCCAATCCAGAATACTCTCTGAAACCTGGGATGCTACTTTAACAGGCGCAATTAGGCGCTATTATCCTCACAGTAATGCGTCCCCTGGTTTCCTAAGATGGACCTAACAACTTTCTTTACATACAATGGAGCAAAATTCTTTTCCCAACACCAGGTCGAGTTTTACTTACCACAACTTAAAAGTGTGATGACAGCTAGCGATCTCAAGCGGTACATATCAATTCCTCTGCAGAAGCAGATAAAATGCAATCAGGATACGAATCCAGACTAACATAACTGAAGTTTATCACAGTATTAACATGCTGTTTTCCATCAAAACACGGAATTCAAGTGTATTCAGTCATGTACTGTAAGTTATGTTTTTTAAATACATCATTGTGTGGCTCGCTTTGTTATGAAATATTTCAGTTTTCCGTCCTTATTTCGAGAATCCGTGTCCCCAATAATGCGTAGATGAATACTTGCCTGTGTTAGGAAAGGAAGGAACGCCTTGCCTTAGGAACAATGAAGGATCGGTTCTTCGACAAGATTCAAGCAATATCCTTGAAAGTAAATTCTTTAGAGAAAGTGGTTTTCAGCGAAGGATTAAAAAACATATAAAATATAAATTATGTCCAGCGAAACTCCTTCAAGAGTCCTGATCTCATAAAGTAAATAAGAAAAGGCAGGTAGGTCAAGTGCTTTTAACCTAATTCCACGCAATAGGACGATTAGAAGATGTCTCTAAAGGAATTAGCAGAAAAAAGGAAAAAAAACAGTCATGTTTACATATGTTTACTCCTATCATGCTGCGTTGGTCTTTGTTGGTCTCTTTGTAGATCTTTATTTTGCGACAATCACATGTACATGTACAATTAGGGTATGCAACCCTTGCACAGTCAGCGGAAGTGGTTACGTTATTCGTTATTATGTGTCTGATAGGAAGGTCTCAATTTGGTGGTAGCTTTGACGGTTAATTTTTTTCCAATTTTGACCGTTGACGGTTAAATTTTAGAGCTTTTGACGGTTGGCGATTATTAAGTGGAAATTTAGTCCAAGATTTTAAATAAACATAAATTTATGCATAAATTAATATTAGCTTTTGTGTCAGTTGGAGGTTTTCTTTGTCATTCACTTCTAAAATCTCGAAATCCTTGGCAGTTGACGACTAACTTTTACGCCATTTGACGGTAGACGGTTAACCCCATTGAGACCCTCTGGTAGGTGAGCGGGAAAGAAATGGGGAATCCTATTGTTCTGATTTATATGGGCCTAGCTTGCCCACTCAGGTACCCTCATTGTCCAACAAGATATGGGAGTGAAAATATATCCTTCTTGACCAAGCTTCTTGGGTCAAGATTGCTAGGTATTGCAATGGCTTCGTTCTTTCGTTCGAGACGAGCTCGAGGTCCATTAAAATCCACAAAAGAATGAGGCAAATATCCAGCCTTCTTCTTCTTCTTCTTCTTTTTCTTCTTGACCGAACAATGCAAGCTTGGGCAATAAAATTTAATGTCGACGAAAAGATCTTTTGCCACGGATGGATAATATTAAATAATAAAACAACAACCTCATAACCTAATTCTTCCTGAAGTTTTCAAGTTTAACAGTGTTATCTGACGAAAATCGCTTCAGTAAGGACACTTGATAACGGTTTCTTTAACTTGAATAAGGTTTGTTTTTCAAACTCAACATTGTTATAACTCGACAAATAAGATATTTTTCGCTTTTGGCAAGGTCTTATAAGTTTTGCGCGACATAAAATAATAAATACTGGCATATATGCTCAAATACACCGCCACCTGGTTGGCAGAGTTGGGAGAGCGCCGGCCTGCCGAGCGGGAGGGCGCGCGTTCAAACCCCGGCCGGACCAATACTCAGGGTCCTTAAAAATAACTGACAAGAAAGTGCTGCCTTTGTAATGACATCTGCAAATGGTTAGACTTTCTAGTCTTCTCGGATAAGGACGAAAAACCGTATGTCTCGTCTCACAGGACCTTCCTTGATTTGTTCTTGTGGGATGTAAAAGAACCCAACCCCGGTGGTGTGGCCAACCTTTACGGGTTGTGGGATTGGGAAGGGATGGCACCTGTCATGGGACCTGAGTCCCGTTCGTGCACATTCCCTCTGGACTGGCCTGTGTCCAGAAAAGCTGGTAAATAAATAAATCTATCACGTCCTCATAGCATCTTTAGGCTTAAGATATCTTCCCAACATTAGCCCCTTTTAAGTGGCTTTGTTGTTTATTTCAAGCGCAGTGATCTCTAGCGAACTTTGTTCCATAATTTGGCCAGTTTTTGTGCGACAGATACGAAACTTTGAGAAAGTCAGCAATAATAGAAAAAAAACTAAGGAGAGAGATTTCTTGCCTTAGATAAAGGTGACATAGAACGGCAAGAGACATGGGTATTTTCAGAAACGACTAACCGTCCAGAACCTCTTCCCCTCAGTGGCTATCATATAGTCCTCTACAACGACCACTGCAGCACCATTAGCGACAGTAAGCTGTTACTAACTGTGAGTACGTACGCCATACAATGCTGTTTCGAGGTCAAGTCTGTGCTAAGGTCATTACTTAGTGCCTTTGCCCCTGCACAAAATACTGCTGTACACTTATGAGAAAGACGTCATACAAACAAATTCCATTAGAAAGCACTAACCATAATAATTTTCTGCTTGACTCTCGCAGGAATAGCATTAAAACTTGAAAAAGTTGTTCCATCCTCGCCATCCGTAGCAACAGACGAAGGAAACAGTTTCAGTGCCTAAATATATGCGAAGAAAAATTAAGCTCTTTATTTAGTTTGACTTTTGAAATTTCCGCCATTTTGTTGCTATTTTTAGAAACGAAAGCACATTTCGAAATCTATATATATCTCTTAAAGCAACTGAGTTTTTCAAAAAAATTTCCACATTTGTTTCTGTCTCGTCAACCCCTTTCAAAGTGACCTATTTGTTACGCCATTGGTTAGAATGTAGATTTTGCTGTCAATCTTTGACGTCATTTTCGCGCCAAAAACCGTTGAAATCAAAAAACAAAAAACACACGATTGTTTGGAATGCAAAGTCCTAGCATCCTGCAAACTTTGAGTTCAACCGGATAAAAACTGCAAAAGTAGTTCCTAAGTGGCCACATTTGGCGTCCTGTTTGCCCACCATGTCTTCATCAAGAGCTCAGATAGAACAGCTGATCAGATTTATTTATTTATTTGCTATTGCTTCTTTTTGTTTTATCATTTGACATGATCATGACGTATGTAATCTTTTCGTCTTTGGTTAGTGTCTAATATGACTAATAATTGACAAAACGTTGCTTTATTCTTTTACCATTGTTTGAGTCAGCTACACGCACAATGTAAAAGGCATTGATAATGCGCTTTTTTTGTTTAACAATATCTTAATATATTTATTTAAGTAAAAACTAGGAAAAAACTTAAGACATCAACGGTATCGATGACCGTTAAGCCTGGCAAATAAACTGATTGGCTCTTTTTATAATATCTTCATCAAGGAGGATTTATGCAAAATATTTCCGTTTATCGTTTATGACCGACCTAATATTTTCAATGACGCTTTAAGGCTGGGAGGCTAGAAGCGAATTACTCTCTTGAAAAAACATGTTGCACGTAACCCAAGTTCTAACTTAATTTTTTGTTTGTTTGTTTGTTTGTTTGTTTTTTTTTGTTTGAGCATTTTGTTTGTTTGTTTGTTTTTTTACATTTTCAGCCCCGTGCAAATCATTGTTGGCCAAGCATTTGAACTGATTTTCCAAAAGTTTGAAACCGGCAAACGATTGAACAACAACAACTCCCAACATTGTTAATGTTTGAACCTACAGACTTTAAGGACCATGGAAAGGACCAATCCAAGAATGCAAGCCCCGTGCAAACGGATCCAACATTGTTTCGCTACGCTTTGGTGATCAGGGAACGAAAGAAATGTTTCAAGCTTTGGACAACAGCTATCAACAACACGCAACAGAGTGTGCAAACAGACGCAAAAAGTAACATCCAACAATGTTGGGGAGTTATTGGCCAATAATGTTGCGTCCGTCTGCACGGTGCATTAAACCTTGTCGTCGTCTTGTCCTTTGTATCTGTCTGACAAATTGTTCAAATTGGCTTCTCTGAATTCAGTAATCGAAAACTGTATTTTTTAATTATTATTTTTAACTGACATCCTCGCAGGAAATACGTATCTCCCAAGCCAGCTGTTACGTTTCGTAACTAAGTAAAAAGTACAGATCAAGAAATATCTGGCTTAATATGGGCAGCCCTTTTTGCATATAGTCAACATTCAACTCGATTTTGCTCACCGTCTCCATGGTCTCTCTCCATGGTCTCCAAACATGCCCTCGTAATGTGTGGGACAAAATGTATAAAATATCAGTCACCGCCGTCTTTTTTTGAATTTCAGGGAATTACCGATGCACACTCGTCAAATGTTCTCCTTGCACGAGAAATTCCCAAAGACGATAGCCAAAAGATAAGGCGGGTAGATTTTACTTATAGTAACCTTTCAGTTTGATCGCCACAAACTTAAAGATTTATTTTTGGTATAGCTCAGTATAACGTTTTAGGGCATCAACAAGCCAAAACTTGTTCTCGATTTGTCCATAACTATTAGTTTACGATCATGGAAAGTCATCGATAACATTTTAAGGCAGCCCAGAAGATAAGCAACGAATAACTCTAAAAATAGTTCTTGGCAACAAGGCAGTTTCGTCAGTGAAAAAAAAAAAAGAAAAACGTAGCAGTTTTACTAGTGGCAAACACGCTATAGTTCTAGATGAGCAATCGCATTAACTTGCAAAGTAACGTTCGACTACCTTTGTGCAAAAAGACAAAGTTATCGACTAATCTTATAGCCCCGAGTGTTGAAAGAACCCTTTAAAACGTTTTCGATTGTTTTCAGCTGTCAAAATTTCTCTAGTTTCGTCTTTTCTCTCTTAGAGATTGCTGCAGTAGGCATTGTTAAAGTTTCCCATAGGTACTTCATCCTGGAATTTTCCTGGAATATTTCCAGCCGTTTTGTAACGACCCACAACGTAGGTGCACTGCATTCCATCGTGCGTTGCTTTGCCCTGACCAATGCCAAGACTGAGACTATCCTTCCATACCACTTGGGTAAAGTGACCTGTGCTGCCGCTAAAACCGCCATCAGCGAAGTTGTAACCAGGCTTACAAACCTCATCGTACCTGAAAATACAATTTAAGAGCAGTTGAAAATGAATCTTCTTGAACTACACGCAGGTGACATACAAAGACTTTAACCCGTTTAATCCCTATAATGACCCTTTAATTTTGTTTTCTATGTTTCATTGACTCGTCTTCAAAACCTCTCGTCTTCACATATGTTTGGCTGATCCTAATGCACCTTTCAGGTTAGCAGAAAATGGCTGGTTGCTTTAAAGACGGAATAAAGCAATCATTTGATCATCGAACTTACGTTAGTGGAACGCCTGTGACGTGCTCTACTTGATAAATACTAGTATATGACATACGGTGCTTTTCAGCAGCTGTGAGCTTATTCCCAATGGCGGTTATCTCTAGATATTTTACTGAACTTCAGATCATGTATACAAACAGTGAGGAAGCTAACACGTTATTTCGCCGTTTCGCCACAAGATATTTTACACGGTTTGGGTCAAAAGGAGCGGAAGACTCGCCCAATCTTCAAAGAAAATAGCTCCATTCCCTACCACTTATCCTCTGATATCTCGTAACCATAGAAGCCATTTGTTTCTCAAATTTTACTGAAAAGTATCTGAGGAATAATTTTAAAAGTACTGGGGAGAAAACGTTCACGTTAAAATTTTCCAGAACAAAATCCGAAAAGAACCTTATTAAATGATATGAACCCCCAACTTACTCCACCTTAAATAAAGTCAACCGACCACCTTGTAATGTTAATAGTGAAAAGGAATAAATTCATCATGTGTTAGAGGTTGTTTAACTTTTGTTTGTTTTTCCTCATCTGTCTGTCATCCAAATTGAAAACCAAATGTTCGAGGATGTGGTTCTACTGAGATTTAATCAGATAGCGCCAGAAAATGAATATGCTGTTTGCTTCCCTCTTCATGCAGTCAGTTCTAACGAATGACACTTGGAAGTGTTATTCTTTTTTATTATTATTTTCTTAATACGTAGACTATATTTTTAAGCAAAGTGCCACTAGACAGTTAAAAAAACATACCACATTTTGGTAGCCTTTTCCCCTGTCAGTGGAATTCCATTTGACGAGCAGGCATACGCCAAATTCTCTCCGACAGAATTTCCCCTTTCCTCCGGCGATGAATGAATTAGCTCTCCCGTATTTGCGATCTTTTGTGCATATGCCTTAGCTTGGTTGCAAAGATCTCGGTCTAAAGTCATCTCAGGAACTCCGTGCGTCTTTCGAAAGTTGTTGTGTGTTGTCAATGCTTCTTGCTCAAAGTATTCGTCATCTGTGTGAAGAGCCATTACCAATTAACCTTGTACTTATTTATTTGTTTGTTCCCTTCTTGCACCTTAGACAAGGAAGCTGTATTTCGGTAGCTCCTTCGTAAATTTTTGATAAATATACTAACAAATATTGGTGTGACTTCATCTGATTATGACATTTACCTTTCATTTACTCGTTTTGTATGAAAAGTTAGCAAAATAATTTCTAAGGACAAAACAAATTTCAGAATTAAAACATTGTTTGTAGGTTTGATCATAAATCTTTGCTAGAGCCAACTCTGAGATATTCCTTTTCCAGTACCAAGAATGAACATACTTTCCATATATTTTGCTTGAGGATCGGACTTATACCTACCTTGACGTACGTTTATAGGGACATTACTTTCACCAATGGCTCCTTCTTCTCTACCAGCCGTTGGACTGAGACCGGAATTAGGACCAGGAGAAGAATATGGGCGTATGTCTCCAGCACTATTAGCTCTTTCTCTTTCCTTCATTGAATCACTGTTAACCTGATTGTGCTTGTCTTCCTCGTCATTTTCTGGTCTGTTGTGTAAAAGTGGAATGCCTTTCGCCATCTTTAAAAAATAGACTATCTTTTGATTGCTATTGTCATGGTCCATTTTGCTTTCGGGTTGTTTTTGATTGTTGTTTCCTACTTTAGGTTCGTGTTTCACTGAAACCTCACCGGGGTGCTCAGGGTTCCCAACTGCAAATTCCTGTGACCCGGATGTCGGTGTTAATTTAAAGAAATTCCAAGATTCATTTGCTCCTTCTTCCTTGGCACTATTTTCTGAAACCTGTTGGGAGCTCGTCTCTCCGTTTACTGGCCTTGCACCGAACCCGTGCGAAGCCGTCAAGTCAAATGATGATCCGCTTTGCGCATCTTTTTCCATAAGAATGTGACCTGATAAGCCAGATAACTGAAATCCGTGTTCGTCTAAACCATTGCCTTTCCTATGGTCCAAAATTGGTGGGATTTCTTGGTTATGTTCTCTTTGGTTTCTATCGTCTACTGATTTGTTTGGACCTCGGCTTTGCTGAAAGGCATATTTGGCGTTGTTCTGCAGATCATTCGCCACTTGATTTTCTTTATAAGAATTTTTTTCTTGTGTAGCTCCTTCCTTGTCACTTCCACTTAAAGGACCTAGTTGACCTGATTCCGGCCTTACTGACCACGAAGGAACTAAGTGCTCTCCATGATCTTCTGCTCGCAGATTATTTGCAGTACTGGAATTTGCTGTGTTACTCTGTCGATAATGTGAAAGCAGAACATTCAAGAACCCTTGCTCTCTGGAGGATGAATATCGTTGTGGCTCAGTGGAATTCTCATCTGCTGAACTGTAAGGTTTTTCTGTCTGTTCAGCACTCTCTTTAATCTTATCCACATTTCCCTGTTCGTTATTTCTATCTGGATTGTTAACTAGAGGTGCATTTTGTTGATTGAGTCTCGCACCTACCGCGCCCGTGGGTAACTTTGCTTTTTCTTGCTGCACTGTAGGTCCCTTTAAATTGCTGCCTGTCAAATACACTGATGTCGTGTCTGTGCTAGATGGAGATTCCTGAATTGAAGGGATTTCCTTTGTTGGCTCTTGACTTTGAGTCTTAAAATCTGAGGGGCTGCTTCCTTCTCGGTAGGTTGATGACAAGTGTGAAGCATCTAGCCCTGGGTACAGCACAGAAGATGAAGGCTTCTCATTTGGCGGCCTGGTATGAGCTTCGTGGGGATCATGCTGTTCAGATGGTATCCTTTGGGCAAGTTGTTCATCAAAAGCACTTTCTATTACCTTATGCGGTCTAAGATGACTACGAAAGTTTTCAAATATTTTATCTGAAGTTGACATTGTAGCCTTTTGGGAAGATCCTGTCGTGGAATCGTTTAATTTTCCAGTTTCTTGGTTCCTTAAAGCTTCGGCAGGGGCGTTAACGTCAATGTCTGAAGTCTGCTGCCTCATTTGTTCCCCACCCAGTTGACCAGATGCGCTGTGCGAATAGTCACTATGCCCATCTGGTGATTCATTGGTTGGTGGTATTGTTTCACTGCCTTTGTTGATTTCATGAACACCACCTGTGTTTCCAGTGGAGACAGGACTGGTCTCTTTTAAATATGATCCCATTGCATGAGGCTTTGCATCCGAGGTTTTTCCAGATGAGTCCTCTTTTTGCACTTTTTGTTTCATTCCAGAATCCTCAGTTATAATTATCATATGTTGCGGTTGCTGAATTTCTTCCTGTTGTTGTTTTACGCCTTGCGGCCCTTTCTCATTTTCCGTAAGACTGATGATGTTTTGATTAAATCCCTCCTGTTGATCTCCTAAGGGATTGTCTCTTTGCTGATGCATAAAGCGCTCACGAGTTAAAGTGTTCGAACCTAATAAGTTTGATTCCTCGTCGTAAGATTTCACCTTAGTGTTGAGAGGAATTACCTTATTTGCCTTGTTCTCCTCTCTAAGCTGTCCGCTGCTCCCAACATTTTCTTTATCAAAATTCTCTTGAGTGTGACCTGTTGCCATGATTTCGTGCACATCTTCATCAGCCAAATTATCACTCTTTATGATATTGTTGATCAATTTTCTGCCTCGGTATGCCTGTCTATTTGTCTCTAACTTATCCTGCTTATCCAAAGAATGAGGAGGTAGAGGATGCCCATCTTCATAGTTTTCCTTTCCTAGTTTTGATGATTGCCTTAAACTGGAGTCTTCACTTATGTCTTCACTCTTTTCTCCACTATACTGACCTTTATTAAGAATCTTGTTAACCGTTACCCCCTTGACACCTTCATCTGTGTGCATTTCTTCTTGTGTTTGATCATTTTTGTCAGCCCTGCTGCCATCATTGTCCTCATCCACAGCTTTACCTTGGACATTTTCCGTAATCCTCTCATTTGCGTTCAAAATGCCGATAGGATGATCAGTGGCATGTCCTTGTGAATACGTCCTATCAGAGGCTGTAAACGGTCTTCCATTTAACAACGGCGTCCCCGTGAAGAGCGCTTCTGTGTAGCTGTAGCCACGATCTGACGTGGACCCATTTGAAGACGTTTGTAGTGTATTAGAGAGATCGCTGTTGGAACTGGACGGAGCTGGATCTGAGTGTTTGGATTCAGCCTTAGAAGTGTCGAAATCTCCACTGTGCTGAGACGCGAAAATCATTCCTAGTCCTTTGCGATGATGTCCGTCCTCGACAGGGCGTCCCATAAGAAGAAGATAATGAGATTTTCCCTTTGTTATTGATTGTTTTTTGGTATTCTTCTTTACAGACTTGCAACTTGTGTCTCGAGCTATAATGAGAGAGAATAAAAGGGATGATAGCATGTTTTTCTTTACACAAAATCGATCTCATCAAACTAATCCCTTTGTTTGATCGATAAAAAGTCAACTAAATTTTTCGAAAGGAAGTAATTCTATAGAACAGTTTACTGCGCTTTTCACAAACATGCGAGTTGTGAGGTTCAAAAGCCAACTAACAATTTTGCTTTTGGCTGCCGTCAATCATCTTAGCAGACCTCTTAGGAAACAAAACTTTTCTTTGATGGGATCTTAAGGTCATGGTTTGTGATTTCTGATTGGTGGATTTCGATCCGTTTAGTGTGTTTCTGTGTTTCAAGGTTCGTTGCTTGTGATCGTAATTATGATTGACGGCAGCGAAAAACGCAATTGTGAAGGCGGCTTTCGATTTTAAGAGTTCGCATGTTTGTGAAAAGCGCAGTAAGAGCTTTTTTCTCCTCCCTTTTGGTTTTTCTGCAGGGCAAACATGAACGAACCAACAGTGGCTTGCCTTCAGAGATACGCTTTTGTCTTGGTAAGGACGTCTTTAAATGATGGATGGGAAAATATTTTGGCTCTATTTTACCCCAGTGACACCAGATCATTGTGAAGAACTTCCCTTCGTTAACCCGTCTTGTTTAACTGGAGTCTTTGATCAGTACTATTCAAGAAATTGTTAGTACGTTGTGTTGGAAAATTAGGTCTCCGTAAATAACACCTCAAAATAGACCTTAGAACCTTCTACTACGTTTTTAGGGGAGGCATAACCATTACATATGAACAAGTTAGAATATGCCATGCCAACTTACCAAAAGTGAAAAGCAAGAGCACCAAAGTAAACTTTGTTCTAAACATCACGCTGGGTTTTGGAATGTCCTCTACTAAACCAGAACGATGTTAGTTGAAAATATAATAATCTAAACATAAGAACAATGATTATTGCAATCACAGACTTTCAATTTCATAGACTGTCAATAAAACCTGTAACCACAGCAGATATTACAAAAAGGTTAATGATTACCACAGCTTTCATCGAGGAATTTCTGGATTTTGTTATTCCAGTTGACGGGGAATTGTATATGCGCGCGCTTTAAGATTAACAAGCTTCTCTGTATTTCTGTTTTCCTTTTTCTCAAAAACGCTCAATCTGGTGAAGAAATGCAAGCCTTCAGGAATCCTTTATGGCATTCTTCTTCCTTTATGTGTATTACTTCATAATTTGTTTAGTAACACAACAGGTAAGGTCATGAATCTTAAGTGATCTTCAACCTGATAGACATGGTGGCCACTTAAGCCTTGTTAACGTAAAGCAGTAGACTTGCGCTGGTCTCGAAGCAAGGGCTGAACGAAATGCCTAATTGAGATAAACAAAACCAGTCCACCCCTAAAGTTATAAAAATCTACGACTGCCTTACATATCTAATGGCTGAAGAGAATACGTTGAACAACTGTTTTTCTTTCCTTCTTTCCCTCTTTTTAGTTTCCGATAAATCTTCAAAACCGACGCGCTTCAGGACACGTCAGTAACCACGGAATAAAAAACTCTTTTATCCGATAACTTGGACTTGTTCAAGGGCTTAAACCTTGAAAGTCCTTCGAAGGATAGTCTTATAAAAAAGAATACTTTAATTAAAGAGACATGCATTCAAAAGAGGTTTGCTCCATTCAACTCAAATACCGCACTAGCCTAGATCATTTTCACCTACTTAAAAGAGCATCTACTGTAACGTTCGAGCTGTATTCGAAGGAACAAAAGCCGCCCGCTAGGAATTTTCGAGGTCGATGAGCTAAATTGTTAAACGAAAGCAGCAGTGTTAATTAGTTTAATGTAAAGCTTTCCCTGGTCATATCGTCGAATTTCATCTACTGCCTCGAGATTAAAAGGATAGAAGCAAAACTAAACTTGATTTCGGCAGGCGTTTTTGGGTTCATGGTAATCCTGTGGGGTAGAACAAGGGGAGGGATGAGTGTAAAACATGGAAGCGGAAAGCACGGGCGAATAACTGGCTGTCATAGAGTTACGACTGTAATTAATATCTACCCTGTATTTTGCTACTTGGGAAACAAGGCGGACAGGATGAAAATGTATGTTTTTCTCTAAGAGATTTCTTGGCCTGGCGAAACGTATGGCGTTATACCACAAAAGCAGCAACCTTGCGCATCACAAATAAAACAAAGTTTCGATTGAAAGCAGCCTCTCCCGCTCATTTTTTCAAAACCTTCAAGGGGGTTGCAAATATTTCCCGTTATCGAGTTGAGTGAAATAGAAGCAAATAACTGCAAGAGCTCATAGTCAATTTTTCGAAGTCTTTATTAGTCTTCCTTTCATTATTTGGACATCTTGTCCGTTCTTGAGGTATACATCACTTTCAAATGTTCTCTGAGGAAACAAAGACAATACGATTTACTAAGTGAGTTATGTTAGTTGTAATAGTATGACGGGGATTTGATTTATTTAGAAAACTATAATGCTGAGTGCAATTTATATATAGTTCATGCTGCTGTATAACAGGTATTAATCGAAGTGTCCTTGCCAATATTGCTGTTATTGTGGATCTGTTATCGTGCGCCACTTGGCTAACTGTTAACATAATTTATTGTCTTCCTTATCAATCCCTGAAGCCAATGTCAAATTTGCAGAAAGTTGTAATAGTGAGCATTACAAAGAATGTATGTAAGCTCGGAGTTGACACTGCTCCTGTAGCGGTGAATGAAATTCAGCCTATCGTGAACAATTTTACCCATTTTTAATTAATATTCAGAGGCTCCTGGTAAACACAGCCACATTACTGAAACTTGGACTTTACCTATTAATAGATATTTTCCAATCGAAAAGTACCATAGTTTTCTTCCTTGAACATTCTCTTTTCGGTGGGTATCGTCCTTACCTAACTGCTTGTGTAGCTGTAAATCCATTTTGTATACTTGCTGACTCGGGCATTTACAGAGTAATACCCCGGATGGCAGCCCCCAGACCCCCAGCTAACCACGCCCTGTAGATACCATCTCCCATTGGAATCCCTGCAAACGATGGGCCCTCCGCTGTCGGTGTTGCAGGTGCTTATGAGGCTTGATCCACCGTGGCCTGTGCAAAACATTTCATTTGTCACAGGGATGCCAGCGTCTTTATTGTCCTCCAAGCACTCGGATTGGCTTACTTTCAGGAGCATGGCTTGTTTGAGGACATCCGCTTGGCTGCTCCAATCTCCAGGCACCGTTAAACCCCAACCTACAAAGTTAAAAACAAAATACAAAATAAGGCGGAAAAGGCAGAGGTTTTCCAGTGTTACTTCTTACGCTTGAAATTGCTTGAGCGAAATATATAACAACGTGAGTGTGTGTGTAGTTGGCGTGATGAAGGTGCATTCTTTGCTACACATATCCCATCACAGCAGTTCAACCCAGGTATATAAATGGCCTAGCCAGTGAGCTAGCCAAATCTTTGGCAAGTTAGCTTTTAGTAACACGCTTTTCTTCAGAAGAAAAATAATCTTACTTCACAAATATCGAATGAGGATAGAACACTTACCGGTTGCATAACACTGCTTCCCATCTGGGATTATGAAGCCTTGATCCGGGAGGCAAACCACGCTAACTCGCTGGTTTAGAATGGCGGGGCGGCTTAGCTGGATTAAAGCTGACAAAAAATAATGCAAATTTGTTCTTTTCACTCTCATCTCTATTGTGTGTGACCGGCCGGTGGCCAAAGTAGTATATGCTCCGCCTTGGCTACCATCTACTTAACAACAGAAACTAAGAATAAGCACGGTAAGTTTTATATGGAGAAGTAGATCCTAGGACTATTAGCAATTTTTCTGAAATTTTTTTCCTCAGGGATTGTACAGCGAGCGAAACGCACCCACGCGAGAAAAACGAGAGGCGATGGCAAGAGAGAAAATTTTTCTCTCTCACCACCGCGTCTCGCTTTTCTCGCGTGGGTTGATTTTCACGCACGCTAGCATAAATTCAAGATGGATTAGATTACTGGCATAATGTTGTGTGTATGTAAGGGCCGATCTACACTAGCAAAAAAGCTGTTAATTTAGAGAAATCTTCTGTCATTACTAACGCCTAACAAATGAGGATGGTTTGTCGCGATTTTACAAATTTTGTCCGCGACCGAACAATCTTCAAAGGCGACGCGGACAAAATCTGTTCCGGATAAAAACTGGACAAAATCGAAAATATGTTTTTCTTATTAATCATTTGTTGTAAACCATTATTCTTTCCATTAAGTAATGACAAATGCGACAGCCTGTTAAAATCAAATAGTTTACAAAGCGGATAAATTTTTTTCAAAACAAAAATTGCCACCATACATTTTTTGGCTTAGATTTTAGTTTCAAAGACAATTTCAAATTTGTCTATACTAGTGCGGATCGGCCCTTAACTAGCTACAATGGTCTTATTATCCTTTCCCGCGTTCAAACTCCAAAGCAGCTGATATTTCACTAGAGAATATGTTGATTTTATGAGACGATAAGGCTGAAGGCAAGAGGCCCTTGAGAAAGGCAAATGGAAGGCAAATACAACCAAAGTAACATATAAGGTTTATAGATTTCTTTACCTATGTCATTGTTCACAATGGTAGGTTTATTGTACTCTGGATGCTCAATGATATTCGCCACCTCAAACTCCTGCTCGTAGCCTTCCCATGTACTTCGTCGGTGCTCCCCAAGAGTTATCTTGAAATCTCCATAATCTTGTGGTCTTTTTGCGTGATTAATACAATGTGCCGCTGTAACGACCCATTGTGGGCTCACCAGAGCTCCTCCACAATGGTGTCTTCCTAGGTAATTGATCTGGACCATCCAGGGCCAGGAATAGGGAAGAGCATTCTGACCACTGATAATCCGGGTCCTTGGACGATAACCACACCTGGATGAGGCTACGAATAAGTTTAAAAAATTAGTTCTGACTGTTAAACTGAGAGCCGAGACTGCAACGGACCGATCGCGACTAATTTCATGAGTAGTAAAGTATGCACCGAGTTAGCCTTTTTTCTGAGCAGGAATCTCATTAAAAAGGGCTGGAGTACATTACCACCGATGAAGTCATATACTTTTGACTATGTCATGAATTTAATTCGAGAAATCTAATTAAAATAACGTGAGGTTCTGGCTTAGATAGTTTAACCGCTTTGACTGGTTAGTTTTGGTTATTTTTAGGCGGATTCTGTCCGTCCTCGTTGCCGTTGCTGTCGTCGGATTTGAAGGTCCCTTTTGTCATCCCGCAACCACCCCAACTACCACAACCACCAACACCCCCCCCCCCCCCCCACAATTCTATCCATTGCTTTCCTTCCTACACCACCAGTGAAATCAATAGAATTGTTCTCGCAACCACCATGATGATGTACTGCATGAAGAGGACAATTTGATACAGTGAAACTTCTATTAAGCGGACACCTTCGGGACCTTCCAAAGTGTCCGCTTAATGGAGGGTGTCCGCCTAATAGAGGTTTGTAAAAATTGCGCAATGTTTGTTAAAGATTAACATTCAACTGTTACTATATACTGTGATAAAGGTCCATGAAGTGCTGTGCTTTAAGGAAGACTTTAGGTGAACTTTGATCGTGGATGACAATCATACGGCCGGATATCGGTGTAATCTCTAGTTTATAGACATCTAAATGTTTTGATTTATCTTCATTAATCGAGTACAGTATACGTATTTCAAGGACGTAATCCAATACTACTATTGTTTAGTAACCAAATACAATCTCTTCTAGTGTCCGCGTCCGCTTAATAGAGGTGTCCGCTGAAAAGGGGTTCGTTTTAAAGGGAATAATAAGACGTTAATTTCGGGACCCGCTTAGTGTCCGCTTAGCCTGAGAGGGTCTCCGCTTAATTGGGGTCCGCTTAATAGAGGTTTCACTGTATCAGTATTTTGCTACCATCGAGTTGTCACAGCAACGAAATAGCGTCACCGTATACCATACAAGACAGCTTCAACCAGGCTTCAACCCTATTAGTTCGCACATCGCACACTTTTACATTGCCCATAAGACACCTTTTCCCCCCACCCCCCCCCGCTCAAATTTTACACAGCAAAGTTAATGACGTCATCGCATTACTATTGGTTATAACAATTTTCCATTCCTTTCCATAACTACCGAGTTAGCCGTTTTGCTGAAAGATTTTCAATGACGAAGTCGTTCATGTTCAGACGTGGATGGTTTCAAATTAAATATCCAGTGGAACCATCGTCGCCTATTTCACTTTCATAAACGCCACCATTAGCAACCAAGCCTTTAGTCATAATGGATGTAATATACCCGGAGAAGTCAATGGACAAAAATCGGTATCGATTTATCAATCGATAAATCGATAAAAGTCGATGAATCTGATTTGATTGATATCGATTACATTGAACAATAGGTAGAAATCGATGACACACTCGTTTCGTTCATCGATTTATCTTGATTGATACCGATTTCATCGATTTATGTCGGAAACTACATCAGTTCATCTGTTCATCAAAAAATTGAAAACTGAATTCATGCAAACAGGAAATTTCTTGACAATTGAGTTGTAATTGAGAGTCGAAGGATCAAACCAATAAGTTTAAAATAAGACAAAAAATACGTTTTTGAATAGTCTTAGAAAGAACGACTTGAAGCCCAAGTTGAATTACGCGTTAAATGTTATCACCTGCTTAAGAAAGACAGTTTGCTAGTTTATGCACTAAACGTACTAAATATTTTTCGCAATTGGCGGGTCGATATGGTTGTGTAGAGAAAAGGGAGAGAGATTAGGGTACGAAAGGTCCGGTTTCGTGGTCCGTGTTCTACGCTAGGTTGCGATCTTTTTTCTTTTATTATTAGAAACACTCTCAATAACGGGTCAAAAATTTTCTCAGTCTTGAAAGTGGCAGTGTCCGTCTACGAACGGGAAATAGGCGCCTTTAGGGTGCGGTCATGTCATATTGAAAGCAGTAGAACTAGGAAACTTGCACATACCTTCGACATCCCTAAGCGTACCTAAAAGAAAAACATGTTACGAAATAAACAACACCATCGATTTTAATCATCTTAACGAATGGACGATAATTTTAACATGTTTAATAAGAGATTTTCAAGGCTTAACTCAGTAATCAGCAGCATCATAAATGTTCAGCAACAGACTCAGAAATTGGATTGCAATCATTAAAGTATACCTGTACTGTAAAGGAATATGGTGAAAACCAAAAATGTTAACATGGACATCATTTTGCTCGTTTTTCACAGCTCCTGCTGGGTGCGTACCTAACAATTATTTACCGCTAGTATTGGAGCCTTTGCATGGATTTAAGAAGGTTATAGAACTTAAAGCACGAATATTTGAACAGCTTTGTTGGTCTTTAACTTACATACATTTTCAAACGTCAAATGATTTGTTTTCTAATGACAATTCCGGTTTCTACGATTACATTATCAGATGAAATAGTTTCGAATTTCTGTTACCAAATTTCGATCGGTTTTTTGTTATACACAGACCCGTTCTCGGCTCGGAAAAAAAAATATATAGCGGAAAACTAGAGGGTGTCTTTTCGGCAGAAATCAAAGTACTGGAATGTGTGAAGTGTTGAGTCAAACAATTGATAACCATGCGCTCAGCTAAGTGCTTGTGCTGATAATTATAGCTGAGCAGGGAGTCATTTCAAAACTGCTTGATTTTCTCCAAAAAATAAAAAAACAACAACAACAGCAACAACAACAAAACAAAACATTAAATTGAGTCCGTATCCAAAAATTGTCATAACAATGACTTGAGCCTTATAGGTAGTGCCCAACTCACTTAAATTGAAAATTTTAGGACGTCGTAACGAAATTTTAACTCTTTCCAATAGTTTGCTTTTTAATTTTTATGTTTGTTTTCGAGTAGTTCCAGCTGCATCTGAGCCAAATTGTATCAGTCAACAAATTTTGAATTTGGCACTAGGTGTTTGCTTTGGAAACAGCTGTAAAGACTGATAAGAAACCTGCACGTCAAATTGTACACAACGGAAGAAGAAAAAAAGAATGACAAAGTCAACCTCTGAAAGCGCCTGGACATGCTTCAACCCATGGCACTTATGAATAGAAAAAATGTTTTCTTACCAAAGTGAAGTCAAGTAATGGGAAGAACGAGCAATTCAAGTTTCCATCACGGCGTGTTTATCACTCACCTTTTTATCGAGAAACGTCCCTGAAAATAGGGCCACTCTCCCGGTCGGCCGAATCAACTTGAGCGACAGACTCGTACCCAGTCGCTATTTATGTGTTTTTGGGGTGAGAGAAGATTGGGGGTTAGGTTGAGGCGCGCGTGGTCTCATGGGAAGATACGAAGGAAAAAATAGATTCACTATTTTTCCTTCGTACCTTCCCATGAGACCCCGCGCGCCTCAACCTAACCCACATCCCCTCACAAAAAAAAAAAAAAAAAAAAACATAAATAGCGACTGGGTACGAGTCTGCTTGAGCGAGTGTTTGCTTGGAGTTGACCCAGGAGGAATAAACGGGTATTACGAATTATCACGGGTATTACGAATTATCACTCGTAAGATATAAAATTGTGTTGTGGTGTGTGGATATTGCTTAGGGGCCTTTTCTCAGCTCACTTCTCTTCGTACCATCCCCATTATCTGAGAACCTGGGAAAGGCCAGTTGCCTACTCCCTTTCAGTCTTACGCAGTTGGTGATCGCACAATCATAGACGGAGCGCGCACGCCCTCCCGATCGATCCCGTAGAGATGTGAGAAGTCAATTAGGGAGAAACTCAAAGTGGAAGATCAGAGAACTTTAGGAACAAAAGCTGAAGTATTTTGACCTATTGAAAAGACGTTAGGGCTTGGGAAAGATCAGGTAGATGGGAGAAAAGAAAGAGGAGGACCAAGAAGGCAATGGGAAAGGGACATACTAGATGTTTTCGATACGTCACCAACAGACGGATGAAAGATTGGCACTTAAAATGAATCGTTCCGCTGTGCGGGCAAATATGCGTCGTCCAATAGGATGAGCGGTTAGAGTAGTTGTGACCGCACCATTGGCAACACTCAGGATTTATGAATTATCCGCAGTCAAAAACGTAAGCAAATGCGCTAGCGCTAGTAAAGGAATTGAAAATGTCTACTTTTACTCCCTTACTCTTTAACGTTTTTGCATCGAAAAGAGATTAATAAAAATTAAAAAAAAAAGTCTTTCATTTCTTGCGTTCACGCTTGCGCTGGCGTTGACATGTCACTCGTGTGAACCGGGACAAAGCATCCGCAATTACAAACGCGAGTTAATAAATAATCCTTAGCCACGTGGGATACAGGATGCATAAATGCGCGTGCACACCTCACTGTACTTATGTTGGACTTGCGAAGATCTCGCGCGCGTGAATGCCTTTCGCCGCACATGCGCATGCGAACCAGCCCACTTCACGGCTGAAGTGATCCATATCGTTGTATCACATCCCTTAATTTTAGGCCCCGTTTGAATCCGCGACTTTTTCTTTCCGGATGAGGCTTCCGTCCACACGTATCAACTGACCGGCCAGACCCTTCCCTTTCGTAATGAGAATTTCACTATTACTCAAAACTATCCAGCTAGATCAGTCAAATCCTAAATAGTGTGTATGAAGATGGTTCTTCAGCAAAAACCCTTGGAAAAAGCCGATTTCATTGTCAAAATAACTGGTCCGGTTGGCCAGTTTTGACAAATAGAAAGCCCCACAATCCGCAACTTCCTGAATCCGCTCTCCAAAGTGGAAATTTTTGAGTAAGCTATGAATCCGGAATCTTGTGTACGCTAAGTTTTAATGAGTTAAAACCGGAGAACTCGTTTAGGTATTTTACTGCCATAGTACTATTTATTACCACACTCACTACCCAAAGTTGTTCTAAAGAGTCAGGTAGCCACAATAGAGAGGGTTCGTTGATTACCATGGCAGTGAATTTCGTGAGAGCGACTAGCCCGTGGCGACAGAATAAAACGATAATCAAAGTCAACAACGACACTCTATATTTATTATTGCTGATATTCTTTAAAACATTTCCCTTCACGAACAAGGTTTGAGTACTACAATACAGCTCGTGTGAAGAGGGACCGTTCGACAAACAGTTGTAAGTGTAAAGAAACTTGACTGATTACATTCATAAAGAACCAAACAATTACACCGTTAAACCACAGGAACACATTACGAACTGTATCATTAGGGCGCCACAAAAAAACAAAAACAGAACAACTATTCACAATACATTATTGTCGATAAAACAGAACTTTACATTGCTCAGAAATGAGAGAGAACAGCAGACACCTCTGCAACCGAAATTCCCGATGAATTAAACGTTTCCAAAAAATTGTGGCTGACAACAAACAGCAAGCTATTTCTCTATGACGTTCATACTGGAACAAGAGTATTTTCATGCCTGGTAAAACAAAAGGCGACCAGTACTGAAGACTGGCAAATCCGATAAATACTAAGAAAACTTTCGTTTAAAAATAACCACTTACACAGTTTAGTTTCTGTAACCACATTGATACCGGAGTGCACCACTTTGTAGGCTGCAAGTGGTCTCTTTTAGTTGAGCAGCACGCGAGTTCAAAGGGGCCTTCGTTCCCCACGTGTACCTCACGTGCTACCCTACTAACGTTGAAGAACATAAGAGACCCTGATTACACAGGTCCGAACAAAACGAATATTTTTTTTTTTTACCTGTGCAACCCGTTTACATGGAACCGTGCAATTCTTTTACAGATAGTATTGTTTGTCGTTCAAAAACTAGCACAGTTCAGTGGGTCCCGTATAAACGAAAGACGAATATCCTTGCAAGTTTTTGTCCGTTCAAAAATTTGTTCGGACCCGTGAAAATGGGACCTGAGGCTACTTGCAGTCTCGTAATCCTGTAATTTTTCTATTTTTCCCTGCTGAGGGATCTTTTAAATAAGCCCTTCAGCACGTCTATAAAAAGAATGGTGACTCCATTTTCACGGGATATTTTTAATACAATAATCTGGAATATCAAAAAGTGTTCAACAAATAGAAGATTTAATATTTTCGTTTCGGAAGCTGGAGGCAATGAAGCAGACATCTTCTCCCTTAATAAAACAAGCTGTGAGTTAACGCCCATATCCCACAAGTTTTCGGTGACAACGACACAATTTTCATGCAGGTGTGGAATTTGGCAGCGGCGAAGATGAAGATGGTGGAATGGGCGATCCAATCTGTTGAGTGGGGGTGTTACTGGACTGCATCGGAACTGGAGAGCTGATCACTTGTTGTCCTGAGGCCAGTCTTTGCTGTTCTTGTTTCACCACTGGGTCTACAAAAGGTCAGATAAGCCATTGAGAAGAACACACTCACTAAGTATAAGGCTATATTCTCATTATAGCTATAGCTAGTTTTTTTCTAGTGGTGCCACGAAAAGCTATCCCTAATCCGGTATCACCGTATAGTATGAACAGCAACTGTCCGGAGCGACACAAGTCGTTCACACATATCGAACATCGCGCCGGCGCGGTTGGCCGAGAGGGTTTGGTGCAACAAATTTCAGTACTCACTCCTGAACAGGGCGGATAAATGTTGGGCGGTGAAACGAGCGCTGCGCTCTTTGTTTAATGTGTGATGCGGAGTAGGACTGGCATGAGCGCTCTTTCCGCGCTTCCGGTGCGCTTGAAGGCCGGCGAAATTTTCCTTTTTGCAAACCGAAAATGCTATTTTCTTTCTGTAATTTCAGGCTACAATGTTAAATAGATAAATTCGTTTCATAACAATATCAATAAACAGTTATAAGTCAAACTTGTTGGTCGTATAATGCCAAAATTTGAGTTTAATTTGAAAGTGTTGAATACCTCCTCCTTCCACTAAATATCACCTAATCGTCTTTCGCCATTTCGTTTGCAAAAGCTTAAAACTTCTTAACCTCAATTTTTACATGTGTTAAAGGGGGATAAATGTTACATAACATAACAAAAAATTAGACTGATATATTTTGATATAGTGGCCTTGTACTGCTTCGAACTTTGCTTCTCGGGTACAACGTCTCGGGCGCAACCTTCATCCGCCCCGCTCCTGAATATTTACTTCCGTCTCAGTGGGTCCCAATCCTCGCTCCCACTGATTTACTTCCGTGACGGGCCCGAATAGGCGTTCACGCTGCATTAGCGTATGACACAAAACCTATCCGATATGTGACGCTCCACTCTCGAGATCGGCTTGGGGCAGCTTCGTTCCGTCACAGAAATCGGCCCGGCACAATTGTTCTTGTGTGAACGGAAGCCCTATCCGGTATGGTTTTCGTGACAGCTATCCAGTATAGTGTGAACAGTCACTTAACCCTTTAACTAATTAAGCCCTAAGAGTGATCAGCATCAAATTTCTCCGTGTAATATCAATGCTTTGTAAAACAGAATGGTCAAGAGAATTACGGACATGATCACACAACATGAATATGCTTGATATTTTATCAACTTCTCCCCACTACTTGTGTAGGAAATGAATAGGGGCAACAAATGAGAATTCAAATTTTGATCTTAAGGTTTTAAGGGTTAAAGAAGGAGGAACTGTTTCGATGTTTACCTCTATTGTTTGTTTGACATTTTCTTGCCCTCGTCGTAGCTTAAAACGCATATGAATTCGGTTTTCGCGCATAAACAGTAAACATTATAACGAAGCGATATTGTATTGTTAAATAAAAGAATCATGAATGGTAAAAGTTAAACTTATAATAGCTAGAGAGAGTGTATGTGCCAGACGAAACTAGGTTGAAATGTCCATGCACGTGGAAAAATACTGCAACTTACAGAAATATGGGTGTTCCATGGCTTCTCTTGCTGTGAGGCGCTCCTACAAGGGAAAAACAATACAAGACATTAAACACGCACTAATCTTACTGGTCAAAGAAAATATGAATGTGAATATGAATACATATTCAATATGAATAAAGATGTACGGATAATTATGGTCAACTCCATTTAAAGAAACTTAATTGAGACCGGCAATAAGATGTTCACCTCGTAGAGCGTCATGGAAAATGACTTAAGAGATGGAGGTGAATTAAGTGACTGTGTAAGCTGCGTAGGACTCGTGTGAATTTATTATATCCCCAGCTTTGCACTTGAAAACCTTAATGCTAAGAAGTGCTCCTAACTAGCCTCGTAGCCCAGTTGGTGACAGCTCTGGTAGATCTATTACAGAGGTCGCGAGTTCAACCCTACTTCGGGTCAAAAACATTTTTCTTTGATACCTGGCTATATTCTTATCTCGTTTTTCTTTCTAGAACTTGCAGTTCAAAAGGAGAGTTTCTCACTCCGCAGCTTTCACAGTATAACACCATTTACATGAAATCTCCCCACATGAAGGGCGGACAAGTGTATGTCTAACTATGGACTAGAGGTTTTGGTTGTGATTATGAGAGAAGCAACTACATACCATGTACACGCAAATGCAAAATAGTGCGTCATGAGAAGTTTCAACTTACTGATATATCATATCTTAGGAGCTTGTCCAGCAAGTCGATTGCTTCTGGACTTACGAGAAGTTCATTTTCTGAGTGAGTGAATCTCTCCCATCTCTTTCTTGAATGTCTGCAACGAAAAAAGATTGCAATGTTGTACAACTTGACCAGCCTGTATACTTAACACTAAAACTAGAACAGATCTAGGTAACAGTATGACTTCGTCTTTCTCGTGCTGGGCTAGATGGTAAAAATTATCCTTGTAATTCATATAAGTATAATAGTTACTGTGCATGTGCAACAACTGAGGGCAAAGCATCGCTATAGAGAGGAGAAGTTGTTGCGTTACTTTAACATGGATGAAATCCTGTGGTGTGACGATTCATCGGTAGCAATGGTAGGGAGGAGTGTTGCGTGATGACACAAAAAAACGGTTGCGAGGGAGACTAAACAAACCGCGGTAGAAGAAAACAACAAAAAAATTGACATGACTGATTTGTTCGACTTTTCTGTGCATGATTACACTCAGGAACAAAATGGTGGCCCCTGCTTTTCTTCCATTGTTTGACATGCTTTGAGATGTGCAAAACAACATAAAGCATTTGCAACTTACCTTCCTAAGATGTCGTTGAATCTTGGGTCTAATTCTATATGGTACTTCTCGACATACTCAAAGAGCTCATCTGTTCCTAACACTTTGGCTATTCTGACCAGCTGAAAACAAAGTTCAAAATTCACCCGGTAAGCTTGCTATTACTACACAGCAGTAGATGGCAAATTGTGCCCTCCGCAACTTTGCCAAAGTAAACAACAAAAACAACAACATTCTTTTGTATCATAAAAAGAGACTAAGTTAAACAATAATAATATTACGTGTAGGACATACATGCATCTTAGAATGGGGTTGGTGAATCCAGCTCCTGTAGCTGAACTACTAAACTGGTACCTACAGTTGTACATGTACATGTGTAGGAGGCAAAGATCAAGGCTATGCTCTTAGACTATTGAAGAAAGCCAAGTGCTCTCAATCTGTGAAATCTGGGGTAGCCAGTGAGGATTTCTATGAAAAAGCGAGGATGTCGAAGTCACCTAAGACTGAAAGTAAGGTGCCAGGGGCCACTGTGCCCTGTTAGAGCACAATCCTGCTGTCATTCAACTCTTAAACACCAACGCATACTGATTCTCTTCTAACAAAGAGGCCATTGCTCTTATTTTGCACAAACCTGATCATAGTTGTCATGTCCATGAAAAAATGGCTCTTTTCTAAAAATCTACAACAAGAACATACATTAGTACATGAAATTAACAGTTCGCAAGAAGAAGAACATATTTTTTTACATATAAAGTTATACAGCACTGATTATTGCATGTCTTGATTCTTGATTCTTGATCCCTGACTTGTGGACACTCGATGTTCAACTCACTTGAGGATCAAAGATTAAGTGTCAACTCACTATTGAATGGTAATTTATACTGTACAATCAATAATAGTATGTTCTAGAGCTTAAGCATGAAGAAATTGTGGTTAGCCTCTACATGATTTGGAAAAAACTGATTTTTTAATTACGGATGTATTGCGGCTATTTTGAATGAAATCACAGGTCCCCAGTAACACCACATTGCATAAAACAAGCCACTGAACCCAACCGAGGTAGGGAGGTCAACCCAACTTGAACCATGGAGGGTGAATAGATTAGTTAATACACATGCAAGTTCAAAGAAAAACACTAATGAATTCATTTGCATATATTGACATGTATGTCATGGCTGAATTTCAATATTGGTTTCAGGTGACAATAATGACCTTAAATCATACATGTAGCGGGTGCAACATCTGCTTCAGTGAAGCAATTTAATTTATTACTAAATAGGCCGGCAGATACAGATAATTTTACTCATAAAAAGCTTACCATACTAGCCAACATACAGCCAAAACTCCACATGTCAAGGGAGTAGTCATACTCCTGGAAAAAAAAACAAACATTATGAAGACCAATTTAAAGCAAAAGTTCTCTACTTGCAGCATTAAACTTTATTAAAGGCAGCTCAGCTGAGTGGCTATAACACTGGAATTTCAATGTTCAATTCCTTAAGTGACTGATAGAGGAAATCCTCTGTGCATAATACAGTGACACCTTGACTGCTTGGTTAGCAAACCAGAACACGGGCTTTGCTTCATCTAGCCCACTTGCGGATTCAGCCATAATAATTATAACAAAAAGCTCAGGTTAAAGGCAAGTCAGGTACCTGATGATCCACTAGTAATTCTGGTCCTTTAAAATATCTGGAAGCCACTCGAACATTGTATTCTTGACCAGGGTGATAAAACTCTGCCAATCCCCAATCAATTAATCGTAACTAAGAGAATAACACAACAGAAAAAAAAAGGCATTTTAAGCTTAGTTATTGCCTGATATCACTGCTGATTGTCAATGAATCATGATATAACACTGACCAGTTAATTATAGAAATATGTGTATCTCAGTATAGTATGGTTGAATTGGGAAGGTTGGGTTGCATGGAGACAAAGGCCATGAAAAAGATAGCACTGAGTGAATTTTATTTGTGAATCAAGTGTTTTATTTCAAACAGCTACTTGTAGGTGCTTGCCTTAAATATCATTACAGAATTCTCACCACCATTTCTTTCTATCAGTCTGAATAGACAAGATATTTTGTTCTGTAGTAACAAAAGGACTTTGAAAATGTAAAAAGAACTGGGCTTACTTGATGTACATGTAGTTTGGCATACCTTTCTGTTGTCATGATCAATCATGACATTATGAGGCTTAACATCTCTGTGCATTATACCCATACTGTGACAGTAGTCAAGAGCCTGACAACACAAAATAAAAATAAACAAGTAAATAACTACTTAAATAGAATACAAATCACAAACAATAGTGTACAATATACATGTAAAAGTGCAGAGTCAAATCTACTTTAATAAGGCCACCTGAAAAACAGGCAAGTATACACAAAATAAATAATGGTGGTGGTATTTCAACAAGTACAGCTTAAGGTACCTAGGATTACATTTTTTATGAAGTAAAGATTTGTTTCTTGAGACCAAGGCTACTATCCTCAAAAGAGACGACAATTCATTATGTCAATTGATATGGCAGCAAAATTTCTGGATGACAACAAACCAAAAAACATCACTTAAAAATTCAATTTGCACTGTTTCAAACTTCATCAATGTTTATACTCAGTTTTATTTAATTTGTAAAATCTTGGTGAAATTGTCTGGGGTTGAACCTGAAAGGAATGTATCTGGTCTAGAAAAAGAAAAAGAAAAAGAAAATTTTGTGCTGTGCTCACCAACTCCATAAAGCTGGCGAGTGAAATGAGTAAGTTTCATGTCGCAGACTTGCAATGACGGCTAAGAAATGTACAAAAAAGTGTGATGCACATGCAAAGTTGTAGTTCTGCTAATATAAACTGATTGCTTTTTGGCCGTTCTTTTTTGCTGTCGCTGTTATTGTTGCTTAAGCTCCCCATTGTTGTGATCCAGAAATGTTGCTGCCATGGTAATGTGATGTCCCACTTCTCCTCTCTATAGAGGCCAGGTGTCTGGCCTACAGGAGTCTTCATGGGGAGGTTTTGCTTTTAACGTAAACAGTACAACATCATTCACCAAAGATAATAGTGACCTTTTAATAAGCACTGAGATGGTTGGTGTCAGAAATAAGAACTGAAGTTGATGTTTTCACTCTTCCAGGGTTCTGACTTAATTACAATACTAGGTTAACCACAGTAAAGGGGTAGCAGGCAGCAAAGGCCTAACTTTGTAAAGGTTTTATTTAAGGTATTTGCACAGGCAAATTTTCAACATTTTATTTTGCACTCAAAATCTTTCTACAGTAAGTTCAGATGATGTAATATGCATATCTGGTGTTCTTTTTTGAATATACCTTCGCATTAAAGAGAAAATCTACTCAAAAGTTGACTGATTTACCGGAAGTTAAAGAAAAATTGTCATTTCCGTTACTAAGAAAATGGACGGCATGAGCGCAATTTGACTCCTCTTTCCAGCATCAAGTTCTATTGATGCGCTGAACAAAATCTATTCACTGCTTGGATTCATTGACAAACTACAGCCACTGTATGTCCAACTTGATTTTTCTTCCTTCTGTTAAAGCTGTGATGACTAATATTACTTGCTTCTAGTCAAAATTCGTTATGTTCTTGAAATATACTCCGTTTTCCAGGGCTTAATATTGTTTTAAATTTACATTACATCGGTGTGTCTTCTCACCTGATATATTCTGACAATTTTGCCGGGAGAGTAAAACGTTTTCTTGGCCCCTAATCCTCTGGTCTGTTTTTCTGCCAATTTCTTTCACTTTACAGAAGCAATTCTTTTCAATTTTGAATAAAACTCTTCTTCAATCTTCATACTTCGGCGCGCTTCACTGCATTAAAGCTGACACTGAGTAACGCATATTCCGGAAATAGTCACACCTAGCAACTGGTCACGTATCAAAATCCAAGGGGGCTATAGAGAGGTCATTTGGCATTTTCTTAGGCTTCCACGAACATTTTACACAGCGGTGATTCAAAATGGCGGGCAAGAAGGTCTGTGATGGTAGTATCGAGGAAAAACAGTTGATTTTGATAAGAAAATAAGCTTTTTCACACTGGAAAAGCGTTAATTACCGCGTGACCGATTTACCTTGACTTACAGGAACCAGTTTTTTGGAGGAATGGATCATTATTTCTTTGTGAAATTTGGCAAATACACAAAGAGCATGTTAATGAACAGATCTGTGTTTGACTAAAGGTTAGAATTGCCGTACAGCTGAGTTATTGATGTCAAAATATGGGTCAAATTACAAAATAGCAAATTGTGCCCTCGAGGCTGGATTAATTGGAGCTGTGTCGTAGTCAAACACAGAATTATTCTATCTTACGTCCTTATTTGTGTTACATTTCTTTTTTAACAATAACTCTAAGGATTCTTCTGAAATTTTGATTTTTCTCTTTCCGTGTCACCCTAGGGGGTAATTAAATTAACACCTTTTGGGTGACATAACATAGTTTATTTTCATATATTCTAGTTCCTCAAGAACTGAGGAATACTGTCAATGTAGTGACATATAGATATTATCCATAAAACAACCACTAAAAATGATGCAAAAATGTGCAAAATTTGCCTGTGCAGATACCTTAATATTACTACACTTAGGTGGCAAATATTCCACTGAAAATGGCAAAATTGCCAGTTACATATTGTACCAGCTTATTGTGACAGCGCTGAACTAATAATAATAATTACCAAAATGAAAGTTAAAACTAACCTTCAAAAGCTCATAAAGGTAAAATCTGATGTCAAAATCAGTAAACTTCTGATACAGTTGCTGTGAAAAAAGACAGTTTCAAAAATAGGTAAAATTAACATTTTCCAAACAAAAATGATTCCAGGTGAGAAAGACCAAAGAAAATACCAGTACTGATCAGCATGCAAAGAAAGTCGTGTCCGATGGCCTGGGGTTAGTGGATTTTGCTGTTGGGCTAGTGATTTCTGTTCTTAACTTGCCCGACGGGCAAGAGCTGTTTTTTTGTGAAATTCAAATTACAGAAGGATTGCAATCAATCCTACCAATCAAAAAGGGTTTTGGGGCTAGTTGAAATGACTTATGGGCTAGTACGTATGCTAGCTATAGCTTGCCCGAATGGCAGGCTGTAAAACTGACTTTCTTTGCACCCTGACTGATATTATTGGCACAAGCCTTTTACACAAAAACAAAATAAACCTACAACTCACCTTAAAATCTGTGTTGTTAACATACTCAAACACTAATGCAGGTGTTCTAGACTGTAACAAAAACAACGACAATTATGTGATTGCACTGCTAAACTAAAAGCAAATAAATCATGTTGAGCAGTACACGTGAGTAATCACCTGGCCAGATTTACAGAAAGATAATAGTAGCAAGGTGGGATGCCTTTTAATATAGCTGAATATATAATGTACATTGCAGTGTACATGTACAAGTAATAAAACCACTGATTAGCAGAATTCTCAGTATTTCTGAAGTTCTGATTGTCCATGGGACAGTAATACTCATTTTTTGTACTTGATTATGTAGATTCAGCACACACATATGAACAGTGTGGTGTGGTGTACAGTACATGGTATGCAAAACAAAGCCAGTCCTGATTTTTTTCTTTCCTGTTTTTGGCAATGAACAAAAAAATGCACCTGGAACCTGTGGCACTGTAGTTACTGACAGCATTTCAGCACATGGCTGTAGTTGTTGCAGATGTGGTGTTATCAAATAAATCACAGTACAATGCAAGTTGACAATTTGAATAAAAAACAGGGCTTTGTTCTAGTACAAAAAGTAAGATGACCATTGATACTTAATCCTTGCATGGATTGAGCATCTAGAATCAGCAAAGATTCTTGACTATTGACTCTAAACTCTTGCTACTTGATTTCAGTAAGATCCAGCCTTGTGCCTTGACTAACCAGCTGTTATAAAGGCTTTTGATAATATCATGTAGTGTTGTCCATTAATAATGATTCGGAGAAACAAAAACGTGTTAAAACTAGCAAAAATGTTCTGACCTTTTGGCGACATCAAGATGGCTTTATTAAGGAATGGAAATAAATGTGAGTTGAAGTACTTTAAATTTGCATGAATGAACACAGCTAGACAAAGACTAATCTGTTTGCACATTCAAAGGTGGGCTTAATAATTGCTTGATGATAAGCATTTCACCAATGAGGCAGTTAGAGTGCTGAAAAAAAATGCAAGAACAAATTTTGACTGCCTTGTTAAGGAAATGCTTTTGAAGGTGCAAACGTATTCACTCTGTGGTAAAGTCTTTGTCTAGCTGTGTTCATTCATGTAAGTTTAGAGTACTTTAACTCCTGGTGAACTCTTATTTATTTCCATTCCTTTATAATGGAAATGCCGAAAAATTATTTCCTTAGAACTTTATTACATGTTTAAGTGTTGTCCATGCTAACAAACCGCTAAGAATGACTTCTTTATTCTACAAAGAGTGCCAGCAAAAACATACCACAGGGTCTTTGACGACATCCAGAAGATTAATGATATTGGGTCCTCCTCTAAGGTTTTCAAGGATTTTTATCTCCCTTTTGATTTTCTTCTTCTTAACAGGCTGTGAGATAATTACAGAATTAATGTTATGTCTCAAAGACAAAACAAACACAAAGAGTGAATCAATGGGAAATAATGAGGTGTTTGCTTCTGCTTGGTCTGTTCATGAATACCTCACTTTGGAAGGGAGTAGAGCGTGATAGCCAGTAATCTAGAGAGGGTGCACAAGCATTATGTTATGGTATTGTCTGAGGAAATGGGTGCGTTGAATTCCACTGTAAAAATATTGTCACTTGCTACATGTATGGGGACACGGCAACATTCTCTTGTTTCAACTTCAGGAAAATACAGCACGGTATGGCACTGTGAGTTTGCTGATCCTGGCCCTTCTATCCCACTATTAAAGCAATGATGAATGACCTCTTTGGACTTAATTTTAGGCTACCACTCTTTTCCAAACATAGCTATTGTGATATTTCTCGCAACACTTACTTCCTGCAGATTTAAGGACTTGATTATTATTTATTTACCACTAACCTTTAAAATTTTAACTACTACTTTTTCATCATTGGTGATGTTTATAGCTTCAAAGACTTCACTATATTTTCCCCTTCCCAGTTTGCGCACAAGTTCATAGTTATCTTGCTGTCTATAAATAAAATAGAGAAGACTCATTACTGTTGTACAATGTAAGATGTAAAGAGTGGCAAACAGCAACAACAACAACAACAGAATAATATTTTAATATTAAATTTAAGTCTGGTCCTTTCCTGACACCTTATCAAAGACCTTTCTCAAAAATTAATAGTGACTGTTCCAAGAAGAGCATACTTTTATGTCAATGGATGAGCTATAAATTATAAATAATATTATAAAATTAATGAAAATCTCCATGAAAATCTTGATTACCTTTCCTAAGATCCTAAAAGGGGTTTTTGAAGGGTAAATGCCCAGCAAGAAAAAAAAAAAAACAAACAAATTCAAATGGACAGTAAAATCAAGACTGTTGTGTCACTTTTTAAACCCAAAAATCCCAACTGGCTGATATTTTGCATCTGGATCAGAAGGCCAGTAAAGTGTTTGACCTGTAAACCAGTTTGTGGTAAGTTTTAGCTCTTTATAGCATGACAGTGACCAGAAAACCAGGATTTGACCTTGGGAGGACTGGCAGGAGGAACAAATCCAGCATGGCTGATTTGAACTTGGGATGACCGGCTCAAACCCGGGACCACTGAATTGAGTCTGATGCACCGACCACTTGGGCATGCTGCCTCCTTGAAAGCTATCATTGAAAGGCATGGCAGGAACTTTGAAAGGTAATTTAATAAGCCCACAAAGTTTCTCAGCTCTTTCTTACAGGTGCACCTAGGCATCTCTTAAAAAGTGTTCACTTTTCCAGGATCTGGTCATGAAGCTCACTTCTGTTTGTTTGAGATTCACCTTGGACTTGTTCAGCTTCAAGTTAATTTCTCTTGCTCTTTGGAGGAGTCACCTCAAATTAATGTCATAGCATCCTTCACTGCTTCTTCTTGGGTGTCACCATGTCCCATGACAGGGGCGTACATGTAGCATGAGATTTTGAAGACGCACACATGCATGGAAGAAAAGTTGTAATGGCAAAGGTGGCATAACCTAGTGGGGTCTGGGGGCATGCTCCCCCAGAAAATTTTTAAATTTAGGGTCTCGGAAATGCCATTCCCAGTGTTTTCCACAGGACAGTTTCCACAAATTAATATGCAGTAATATGCAAAAGTTAGTTGTTTATTTTTACTCATCTCTAGTGTTGATTGTGAGGTACAGTTTTTATGAAAGAAAAAAGGATGTTTTGTCTCACAGACTGACACAAAGTGATTTTTCCTTGTTGCGATTGAGGCAGAATTGGCCAGCAGGACCATGATTGTGTTGTTCTATGAAGCATCAGGTTTTCACAGAGCTTACATTTTTTCCATGATTCTCTGGCTGATTGTTCCTGAGATTTGTCACTTTGCCCTTTGGAATGCGATGTATGTGTTTTCTTCAATGTGCTGTCATGTGATTGGCTATTCTGTTTGAGTGCATTAACTTTGTCAACACCATAATTATTCCTTCTCTTTGTTTGCCAGAGACCGTCTTTAGCTGCTGCTTTGTAATTTCATCTGATTTACTCATTTCAAACTCTTTCCACAACACAATTGCCTGCTATCTAAGTAGCCGCCCTTTCAAATCCTTACCTGTAACTTCAATCACTACATTGTAGCCAGTGAGGATTAGTCACTAGTCAACAAGGCAAAATTACAATGTACAGAGAGTGCCAGTTTTCACAAATGGTTGACAAAGACATCAATATGATCATCTGGACCTTGTATGCATATTCATGTAGAACTTTCATATACCTGTAGACCACATTTCTCTGGGGTTTGAAGTACACTTACATGTACAATGCATCTGAACAGCTTGAAATGCTATCGTCTCTTACAATCTTGCATTGATAGCGCATTTCAATCTGTCCTTTGACATGGTAACATCTGTTGGTACATTACATGTATATCGCAAGTCAGTTCTGACAGGTTTGTTTGTTTGCCAATAAAGGAAAAAGTGGAACGTGACATGCTCAGAGGTGCCTGCTCCTAAAAAGAATTAGAGCCTGTGACACAACAATGACTTACGCAAAGCACTTGTTCTAATTATCACAGCAGTTACTGTATTTTACATGTACCTGTAGTTTCTTTAAATTACTGTACTGCTAAAGGTAAGTTGACAGTCTCAACTCAAGACTCAAAACTTGATTCTCCTGTCTTGAAGCAGGAACAACTCATGTTTTGAGACACAAGAATTAAGCAGAGTCTCAACTTCAGCCTTTCAAAAAACTGGGATTTTCCAATATTCATCACTACAGTGTATACAGGTGGTCACAATCTGAACACCACCACTCAGATAGCAAGTGCCCGAAAAATTAAAAACCTTTAGAAAATAATGTTTTTTTTTCCTTTAGTATGAGTGAGCTTCCTCTCTTCTTTCTTCAAGCTGTGTCATTTTATTGTTTTGTTTTTAAAAACAAAAACAAGGTGAAATGACTGTAATTATACACGTCGCAAAGTTAGAATTGTGTTGATGTAGTAAAAGCCAACTTCATCAATTGTAACAGGTACAGTACATTTATATCTGGCCTTTTCGTCATTTTGTTAACTTGACAAAATTATGTGGAAAAAATTGGGGCACATCCACAAGCTACAGTTGTAAGTGTGTCTATAAACCAAACACTATGGTAAGAATTCTTATTAAAATTTACTCAGTTGTGTACAATATGTCTCAGCCATTTTAAATTCAAATATAATAAGCAAACAGGCAACAAAATCTCAACATGGCATTTACATTTTGGCTTTGAGTCAAAATTCCCCCTCTTCTGAGACAAAAAATAATAACATTGCTTACTTTATCAAAATTAATGAAATGTAAATACTTGAAACATTAACCTTGGTGAATTAGAAACAATAATTATACCAGAAAATCTATTGACGCCAAAGATTTAGAATCGAAGGGCAATTGCTAGAGAACAGAATCGTGTGTGCTCAATTAATTTTCCAACTTCTACATGTCATAAAATATTAATTTGTTTCTCCCACCAAGTTAAGAGTTACTAGGAGCTGTGGTAAATTATCGAGACAGCAGCAACTAAACACTTAAAAATACTATAAAATACAATGGTAACATCAAAAACTCAATTCCAAAATGTGATAAGCTAAAGAAAAAAGAAAAACAAAAAAGAAACATCCAAGCTGAAATCACAGTCTTATGCTCCAAATTAAAATACATGATTGGGGTTATTTAAAATTACAGCTTTGGCAACCTGCTATGGCAACATCATTGCATAAATCTAAGGTATGGAAATACTAGATATTAAAAATATAGCTATGCAATGAGCAAATTAAGTCCAAGTGGAACAAAATTCCTTCACAGAGTAAGATACAGTTGTATCTGACAAAACAAAATCACCTTCATAAACTGATTAAAAAATATTTTAATCAGAAAGGTGAAAATATAGGGTCCTAAGCTAACTAAGCTGATAACAGATATGCACTTACAGTGTATGAAGTCGTGAGTGAAAATGGCATTTTACTTATTTAGAAGTGAAGATACTGTAGCTAAAGATGTACACAGAAACTTTCTGAAATATAAATTTGGAAGTCTCCCCTCAAATTATTATAAAGCACTGTTACTTTCAACTACCAGGAAATATTTCACATACATGGAAACTTATTATCCTTAGCTAGTGGACCATTTCAGCCTACCCGCCTCGTTTTGAACAATAAAATAATGATCAGCACGTTGCATGTCATTGTACAAGACCAAGTAAAATCTGCAAGCTGGTTCAAGGAAGAAAACTCTGTGAAACGGCGAGTTCTTACTCAAAACCTCTTCATTTTAAAGTGCGTATAAAACTGTTTAAAAATTAAGAGACTACTTACCCCCACTCTATGACATGAGATTCATAATCCCAATATTCTCTTGGACGGTGAACATTGACATCTGAGTAGACTCGGGAACGAGCTGTGTTCGCCATTCGTTTCACCAGCGTTCTATCATAAGACGCTGTTTTCAGGCAAAGTAATGTTCTCTGGCTCCAGCTCAGATAAAATGTCCTAAAGATTAAACGTGCGTATATCGTTGTTGAATTTGTTTTAGTTTTTGAGTTCTTTTCTGAGCAGTGCGACTTCTTCAGCGAAAAGCCGCCGGCGTCGTTCCTGATCGATCAGTCGGGATAGTCGCGATTTCTTTGTTTTACTTGAGGATTGTTTCCTCTTAATTATTCGTAATTATTTTCCTCGATCGGTAGAGGAAAGAAGAGTGTAATTACATTCGTAAAAACATCGAAGCAAAGACCGTAAATTCCGTGGAAACAACAACAGAAACAAACCCTTCAGAAATATGGCGGGCACCACGAAAGGAAGAAATCGTGAAAGGCGAGTTGTTCTGAAAGCGAGGCTCACAGAGGACTGGGGTTGAGAGGGGTGAAACCATTATGGCGGACTGACGCACGCTTCAAGATGACTCGCTTCTCTGAAGTTTCGCGTCGTTTTTACGTTTTACATTCAGTTGTTCCGTTCGAAGAAGATACAACACATGAATTTAAAGGTCACAGGAATATTTCAATAGAGGAAATCCCGCCCTGGTGTTTTATTCCTGGGACAGACAGGCGATCCAGAAAAGCTGTCTCAAGGTGAGCTAAGATTTTTAGCGTTCAGGAAAATGACTGGGGTTTTAATATTGCTATTTCTGAGATTTTAAACTTTGAAGAGATAACTATTAAAATTGGAGAAAAAAATGTAGCTGTCTTATGCACACGTGATCATTCGGTAGAATACAATTTGCAAGTAGATGTGAAATATGGACTGTCACGTGATCGTCAAACCACACTGAAAGTAATAATCCCGCTTTGCCTCGACTGCACTTGCAAAATTTTCAAATTTTTTTGAAAAAGGAAGATAATTTCACCTTGAAACGAGGCATCAAGGATCAATTACCATAAAGACAAAACAATAACAAAATTTGCCGTCATTTACCAAAGATCAATAGGAGGCTGGGTGAGGAAAGAGTAAAGAAAACAACAACAACAACAACAACAACAAAAACATGTAAAGTTGACCCAAAAATTCCAATTAAAAATCTTGTTCTTGAAACTACATGCACTATACTTCCATCCAACTACCTGGTAGTCATGTAGAAGCTTAGCATGTACTTCTTCATTTAAACTCATCGCTAATGATGAGCTTGGTAGCAGGTGCCTTAAAGGTTAGTAGGAGGCCAAATACAATAAGCAGAGAGGAGGTATCCTTGGCAACCCTGGAAGCAGGAACCACCCCAACAGCAGCCACTAACCGGCACCGTCACATTGTACAGACATGTGTACCTAAGAGAATACTTACCCGAGAAAATACTGGTCACACTGTATTTTGGGAAATTTTGGAATGTCGTTTGATGAAGAAATCATTCATTGATAGAAAATTGCATTGTATCTGTTCTCTGTTGGTAGAAACATTAATGGTTTTCTGAACACTGGCAAAGGTGGCACAATATATCTTGGGATTGTGGATAATGGTAGCGTCAAGGGATTACACTTGACACTTTACCAGGTAAAATATTGACTTACATATTGTACAAGGTATTACAGGTCAAAATTATATTCAGGTTAAAATAAACTAGATTGAATCTCAATTTCCTTTTTCCCCTAGCCCTAATTCATGGATAATTAGGGCTAGGAGACCAAGGAAATAGAGAATACAGTGTAAATGTACATGTAGGTTAAAGAAATTGAAATTAACAGTCTGAATTATTTAATTTTGACCTGTGACATAGATACTGTATACCATGCCATCATCATCAGATCCCTTCCCAATGTGAGGGGGTTCAGGAAGGAAATATCATAATTGTCAATCCTTCTCCAACAGTCTCTGTCTAGGGGAACGATGAAAGCCTTATATATCCCAGGACCTCAGTCAAAACTACATTGTACTTTAAATTTGGCTCTTTCTCATGTCATGCCCATCTGATGGTTATATTTATGGTAGTGGTATGTGGAAAAGCTTCTTTCTTTATTCATGACACACGTCCTTTCTGACCACTCCACTTCCGTGCCACACCACTGCCTTCTTTTCATGTGCAGGCTCATTAGGCCCTCTCAGGGTGGGAAGAGGGTACATATGTCTCTTGTGTAAATTTTAATGCGGTAGTTTTGCTTTTTGAATAGTAGGCCATGTTCCTGTTAGGTATTTCACCCATCTTGTTTATGTCAGTGGTCACCATTTCGTCTACTCTCATGTCGCTGTTTCAGGGTCATGTCGCTTGTTGGAATTTTATACTAACAGGGGTTGGCTGGCTAGCTCTACTCTTAAAGGGTGTACCTTTTTACCCTGTGCATTTAATGTACAAAAAAATATTGATTTCTAAACAAATACTTGTTCTGTCCTTGCTTATCTTTATTCAGAAGGATCATGTGGTTATTGCAGTCAAGGATGCACTTAGCAGATACACACCTCCAGTTCCAGAAGAATATTACAAAGTACTACATATATGTAACACATTCAGATGTAATCAATTAATTACTATACTACAGTGCATACAGTGTGTATTATACTACAGTACACTTACTATTATACTACATATGTACAGTATATTATACTGATTATACTACAATACAGTACTTAGATGTTTTCTGTCATTGTTGTCAATGCTAAAGCTTGCTAATGTCAGTCAATCAACCCCAAAAAATGACAAATCAAGGCCTGGTTTAGGGCTAGCACTCCATGAGGGCTTTTGAAATTTTTCACGGAGGTAAATTAATGTTGTCAATGCAGCTGGTCAAAACAATTAATTATTATTAACTCTTATTTGTTTCTGGTTCAAATCAAGGTAGAAATTGTACCAGTCATAAGGAAGGAGGAAGTGGGTAATGTTGAGACAGCACTTCAGCTCCAACATGACAGGTGAGTTTCTTGCATCTGAGTTTGTTTTAATCAATTTTAATTTGGACACATCTCGATACAATGAAAGAAAACATTATGATTTAATCAGGATAAGACAGTCAGGTTTTCCTAGTTGCTACATCGTATTATAGAAAGCTGTTGATCCTGACTAAAGATAATAAAAAAATGTATGACGTTTAATATTAAGTTTTATTTAGAAGTACATTAATATTATAGCAATGAAGGCTGCTAGCATTGGTGATATTACTAAAAGCACATCACCATACACTGTAAACCATGTGCATGATTGTAAAGTCCCATTTATTTCCCCCATTGCAGAATTGCATGTACATATATTTACTTGACTAAATTGAAAGCTACCTTGGATAATAATAATTACACTAACACTAACAGTAAATTTTTACCTTTTGTGATGTATGTATGTATGTGCAGCAACTGTTATACCTTTTTTCAGTACCCAACTTATGAAATCTTTAACAATGAATGTTTGGAACTCATAGTGCAATTAAAAATGCACAAAATTATAAATGTTTAGAGAGACACTTTTGAACTTCCCTTTTCCGTTTTTTGACTTTACTGTACAAAACGCACCAATTACTGATTACGACTCTTCATAGCCAATAACATCATGGCTTAACTGACAGCCAACCAATAACATTGCGACGTAATTGACCGATCAATAACCAGAGTATAATACCATCAACTGACGTGATACGACAAGTCACTTTGACCTTGAAGATGACTACCGCACAGGTTGTCGAAACATCAGGCACCGTCAACAACAACAGTCCTATTCAGGACTACATTCACCCGGACAATCAAACTCAACCTACTTTTATACATGTAATTTCTATTTTTTTGTATGTAGAGATGATGAGGAGACTACAAATCGACACAGGCCTCACGTTCTTCGAACATCAGAATACTGCTGGTGTGACCGAGAAGCTATGGATGCCTTCAATGAAGTGAGTGAACTGACCTGTAACTTGAAACTTGAAGCATCCAAAGTCTGTTTCACGCTGAACTAGTGATAAAACAGTCTGCTAACATGCAATGAATTTGTGCATTTCATTTAGGCTGGAACTGTGTATGCAGTTAAAAGTCTTCCACTCCAAAGTGAGTCTGGTCAAATAAAAACTTAATTTCCCCATCAGTCTCTTGGGTTGCCTTTCACTTTTTAAAACTTTCGGAAGCTTATGATCTTAAAAGTGAAAAGTGATTGGCTAATTAATACACTTGTACATGTAGTAATTTATATTACTGGACAGGATTTTCTGAAAGTGTCATACACTATGTGAACTTATCATTATAATGTGTTTTTTCTATAGCAGATTGAGCATAAACACTAGCTACTTTGGCAGGACTGTTTCAATTTTCTGCTGACATTTTCATAAATCATTAGCCTCAAAAAAAGTAGCCTGAGAAAATGGCCAACAAGTTGTGACACCACCACTCACTGGTTACCTGCGAAATGACATCTGACAAACCAAGTGCAGAAATGCCACACTGATGACATATTACTGACTAGATCTGAGTAAAAGCTTCTGATCAGTTGAAGCAAATTTCTCTTGTGGCATGATCAATCAAAGGCACTACCTAGAACCTACCGGTAGTTCTACTTAGTGATACAACATCAGTGACGTCAGTGTGAAACTTCAATCTGCACTCTTTCATGTCACTTATGCAATTTGGACATCTTTTAGGGTTTGCCTGCACCCCTTTATGTTGTGGAAATTACAGTGTTTCCATGGAAACCAAAAGTGAAAACAGACAAAGGTCAACACTGCCCAAATCTTCACCCAGTGTATGAGGATGAAGAAGGAAAATGTTATTTTAGACGACAAGCAAGTTTAGTGCAGGTAAATGTTTTGCTGATCTCTTATTATTAATTTATTATTTTGATATGAGCAAAAAAAAAAATAATAATAATAATAAAATACTCAAGCATCTCTCTCATATTGGTTCAAGGCCTTTGCCTCAAACTTCCCTCAGGAATGCTGCCTCTTAATAAGCATTTCTAAAAGGCTAAAGAATTCAATCCCTAAGCTACATCTACGTGTAGCCATAAACTTTTTATCTTCATTTTTCAGTATTCAGTGCAAGAAGTAGTGGAACTTACAAAGCAAGAAGTTCACAACCATTTTAAACCTTTATTTTCAAGGTAAAATATGAATGTAAATGTAGCATTTTGTTGATTGGGCATAAAAATTAATAATAATAAATTATTATAAAATACATAATAGATGCATACAGTGTGTAAGTTGCCACAAGAATTAGTTACTCATCAGTTTGAAACACACATTTGCATGTACAGTGTACTGGCACACTGTAAAATCAATCTTTTTTCACTGATTTATTACTATAAAATTGTAAATGCTGACTGCTTTCACTAGTTACTTTGTATGTTTCTTTCTTCATTTTTAGCATCAAAGAGGAGATGAAGATGATTAAAGAACACTATTTCTCTCTGTACAATCACACAGAAGGCAGTTAACATAAAGTTTCATTTAGTTTAGTTATTATAACAGCTTTGCAGTTGGTGTAATTATTGTACATAGTATTTTTTAGGGTTATATCCATGCGGAATACAGTTGCACTCAGTCCCTAATGAACAAGCATGTTAGTTGCGAGTATGCTTTCTTGCATTTTGGCTCATTCTCTCTTCAGTATTGCTAGACCTTGACCTGACTGACAGTAAAGGGACTGCTCACAGTGCAGTATGAACACGCCTGTATGGTTTTGATGTATTTAAAATCAAGATGGAGCACCAAGATTACTTGTAAAGCCGTTTTTGATAAGGCCCTCTTGGAAGGGGGGGAGGGGGGCGGGGGTTGTACGCATGTTTGTAGTCTGAATTTAAAATATTATGGTCGTTTCGCATTTTGAGGGATAGGCCATGTCCCTGTCAGTATTTAACCCTATCTTTATGTCGTTTGTGGCCATTTCATCTTGTCTTGCTTACATCGCTGTCCCAGGGCCACATTGTTTGTCAGATTTTACCCTAACAGGGCCTCTGTAATGAAGACCCCCTTTCCAACGATTGCTATTCTTCACCCCAGTTATAGTAATGTAGAATCATGGGAGAAGACCTGGTTATATTGGTTATCATACATGCATATACAGGTGTATGGGTCCCACTTTAGTTGCCATTGTTGCTGCACCATGCAGATCCAAGGGGGGGTTTTTATTATTAATAATAATTATTACTGATGTACAGTTATTACATTTTGATCCACTCCCACTCTTTAATAATTCAAGGAACAACATTACTTTAATAGTCCACAGGAATACATTGCTCTAACCGTATAGGTATTATTAGTAGTGTTCAAAGTTCTTAGGCTAGGTGGAAAAGTTTATACCAATGGGAGGGGGAGGTGGTTACCCACCTTTTATTTATTTATTTATTTTTTTTTTTTTGGGGGGGGGGGTCACTTATGTATGACCCAGTCATGTGCAGACAATGTTATTTTCATTTCACATAAATGATTTGAGACTTAATGAAAAATGGAGTGAATCCTTCAGAAATAAAAACACAAACTTATGTATCTGGTACAAATTATTTAAAAATAGCTATCTTACTTTCTTTAAATTATTTTAAACTTCTCTTTCAGTGCCCTATTAATTATAAAGTGCCCATCACCTATAAAAAATTTATTATTTTCTTATCTGAAACTACACCTTATTAAAATAACTTCTGCGAAAAAATTTTGCGATTTGAACCAAAGATGATTTTTTTTTATAATTTTTTAAAAACGTTCAAATTTGCCGCCATTTTTGCACACCATTCATCTTAGTCTTCTCTCGGAGGTATGGCGTCATATGACGTACTTTAAGGAACACTTGACCTTATCGACAGGAAAACATTAAGAGTTCTGATAGGTTTTTCTTCTCCAGAAAAACTTTCTTCTTGCGAAGACATTGTGATTCAATCCTTACTTGTAATTTATCTTTTTTGTGTACCGCTGGGTAATGCGAGTTCCTTAATTTACGTCACATGACGTCATATGTGAGCGTGCTAGTTTGCATGATCAGTGGCGCGGGTGTACCGCAAAAATGTAGACTTCAGAAACTGGTAAAAAAATCACGTTTTGTTCACACTGCAAAATTTTTTCGAAGAAGTTATTTTATTAAGGTGTAGTTTCAGATAAGAAAACATAAAATTTTAGGTGATGGGCACTTTAAAGGTAATTATTATTAAAATAACCATAAATGAAAAATTATGGTATTATCAGTAACTCAAATGAATTTCTGGTATTATTCCGTACCGCATATTTTATTTTATTATTATTTTTTTTTTTTTGGGGGGGTGCAACAGTTTTATTCATAATACATTGTAACCCCATACAGTAATTACTTCCTTGGTTCTCTTGTTTGTGGACTTTAATCCCCTTTAGAGAAACTTGGAGAAAAAGAGAGACTTTTTGCACCCATTGACCATGAAAAGTTGAAATTCTACAACTTTCGATACACATACCAAGGCTGTGTTCTAAGCAAAATTGAAGGGAGCTCAGTGCTTAGCCTGCGAATACAGCCATTTCTCCTTGCTCCTCGCCACTAGGGACATTTGCCAGGAGGAACATCTGCGCCTTAGCGAAAGAAATTCCATACTGATAACGTAAAATCTGTTCGAAATGTGGTCAGGAGCTCTGATTGGTATAGCCATAGTAGTTGTCGGTTTGACGTATTGTTTACGAATGACAGGCAAAAGACAAGAGGCCACGGAGGTAAAATATAAATGCCATGAATCTACGACAAAACAGCCAATTTTCTTGGAATATATTCTTCTTTAGAAAAAGCATCTGAGTTTTGCTGTAGCTCATTCGCAGTAGAACACAAAACTTTACCATTAAATATTAATCAAACAACTTTATGTTTGGAATGCCACATGTGACTAGATTTATTATGTCAACATTTATTCATGTCATCAGTATGGAATTTCTGTCACTGAGTCACAGACGTTCCTCCTGATGAAACGTCAGTAGTAGCAAGGAGCAAGGAGAAACGGCTGAATTTGCTCTGAAACTGTAAAATCTAGGATGCCCAGCATTATGATTTGTATGAAACAACTAAGATTTTCTTGTTGCCCGAGAGCAAAAGTTAAGCACCAGGGGTCACCAGGCCCTGCTAGAGAACAGTCCTGCATACATACATGTACACTGTAACTTAAATAAAGGAAACTCATTTGAAAAGAGACTTTTTAAAAATTCAAAATTTTATTCATACAAAGGTGAAAAGTGCTGATAAATTTTATATAAATTATTTTACGCACATTAACTTCAGATAGACGTAGAATTAGCTTCCTTAGTTGTCAATAGCATTGATGTACATCCTTGGTATCATTTTACTACTTCTTAAATGAATAAAATTGTCTTTTGAGAAAACTAAGAAAACAATGTTGACTTCAATGCGTTCCAAAGATTCTCACAAGTTGTGTCTGTACACACCAAATAATGGACAAACTTGAAAAAAGGGAGTAGTGCACTTGGAGATGCTGCAATATTCAGATCTCTCCAGTCTGTGGCACTGTTTGATGTATGTTTTAATAAGCATATTGTGTGCTTTGTTTGAACTTGAAGATGGTTTACTAGCTTTTGTTTTCTCCAGGAACTGCTGTGAAGATCCTTAATCCATGCATTTGTTTCACTTCATTGGCAAGAGCCTAAAAAGAAAAAAAAGTACATGTATTAAATGAATACGTTGATTCAACTATCTGTATTACATGTATGAGAATTATTACTACTTGGACACTGAATTTGCCTCATCATGACGATGATGTTAGCTTACTTGATTGACGAGTCGATGTTGTTGAACCTGTCTTTTCCCTCTGAACTCTTCAGATTCAATAAATATTTCATACATTGCTCCACAACCCCCTGAAATTGGAACAAGCAATTTCAGCTTAATCAAAGGTTTATCAACTCTTTCATTAGTTCAAATAGGAGGTGGCAACTGCTGCCTACAGTTTAAGATGTTGTGCAAACAGGTCTGTAGGTGTTTTTTGTGTGTGGGTGGGTGTTTTTCTACAAATACCAGAAGCACAAGACTCCATGGGTACCTGTAGAGTTTTAGGCGCATGTATATGTTTCTCCGAGAAAATGCTGAAAAATAATCAAGTCTCCACAAACTGAAAAAAACACTGATGGACCAAAAACAACTCATTTATCTCTGTTCGGTATAAATGAATGATAATTTCACTCATTTATTGCCCTTACTGAATATTACTTAAGGACCACAGAAAGTATCTGTGTAGCATTTCTGCATAGCCACATTGTGTGTTTTCAGAAAATACCCACACTCACCCCAGGCCATGAAGGGTCATAATTAGAAATTCTGAGGGAGAAGGGATCTTAAAGGCTATTTCTTTTAAAGGAAAGTCTGAGATTTGACTGGAATACCCAAGGGGACAGGGTCAGAAAAGGGAGCTTAAAACAAAACAAAAAAACCTCACTAGGATGTCCGGAAATAGCTACTGAGGCGGGAGAGAAAATGAATGTGAGTCAAACATGTATGCCTAATACTCAGAGCGCATACTCTGCCTAATACCGTAAATCCTGTATTAAGCCCTTCTTCTCAAATATGCCCCCTTCTCTCCAATAAGCCCTGCCCCCTGCCCCTTTCGAGGGGAAGAAAGTTAATAAGCCACCCCTCCCTTATAAGAAATCATACCATAGGTTTCCACACCCCATGAAAGGTTACTAGCTTGGTTCTGTGCAGTCACACCGTCACAATCCTTAGCGTGGGGGGAAGGTGGAGGTGGAAGGGGGCACGCACCACTCCATCATCCATGCACACCTTTCCTACCCACAGACCAGGTGACGGGTATTAAGGATAAAATTAGCACAATAATCCATTGATTTTCAAAAAAAACTGACCTGAAACATCCTTGACAGCAATATGAGAGGCACCAAATTTTTGCCTTAAAATTCCAGCAAGCTTCTTTTCCCCTTCAGATTCAGCTTGAATCTGAAGAGGTCTTAACAGAATTTGATATGATCGCAAACACTAGGAAAGACAAATGATAAAACAAACGTTGGGTTCTGTACATCAAGAACCAACATATAGAGATACTTTATAAGCCTAGAAGTTTCTAATATCCAGCAAGTCAGTACCGTATTTATTCCATTAAACGTCACCCTCGAATAAATGCCGCCCTCGATCAAACGCTGCAGATGGAAGCAAAATAACCAATAAACGCGACCCTCGAATAAACGCCGCACCTAAACAGAAAAATGCAGCGTTCACTCAAGGATAATAAGAAAAACCTCGGTACAACCATCCAGACATTTGCGATTCTATCTCAGCAAAATAAGGGATACAGTGAAACCTTTAAATTCAGGTGCGGATCTAGAATAAATACGGACCGATTTCCTATTCTAGGGAGGTCTGGGGGAATGTTCCCCAGGGTAATGTTTTGGATTTTAACTCCCCAAAGTCCCCTTTCCTGGGTTTCTGAGCCATTCAGACAGGATATTTACTGACTCTCCAAACTATTTTCCAGATTTCAACTTGGAAGGTTTAAAGTTTTTACTAAAAATATATCTATTATGAAATATCTGACCGATTTCCGTAAAACGGTGGAAACCGGTATGGATCCGCGCCCGAAATTACATAATATTTACAAACGATTTACAATGACTGTTGTCAGTGATTTAAAAAAAGTGATTTCGAAATAAACGCCGCCTTCGAATAAACAGCGCCCTTGAATAGACGCCGCATTGGAAACGCTAAAAATTTAATAAACGCCGGGGCGTTTTATTCAGCTGTTTTATTCGAATAAAATAATACGGTAATCAAGGTCGATGGCACTTGAGTCTCTATTTATCATTTTAAATGCAAAAAGGCTGCTTCCATATCAAACCAGGAATTTACAAATAATCTTAATGTTTTGATTATAAAATATACCCTGTTTTGTTTGTTTGTTTGTTTATCTGTTTTTTTTTTTTTTGCTTACCAGATGCCGCGATTTTCTCCAAGCAAACCAACTCATCCCAAGGCTTTGTAAAGGACAATTCGTTGTACAGTAAATGAATCATGAAGTTGTTTGTACGCTGACCGACTGTCCCCAGTCTCCCTCTTATCCATTTGGTCTTCACTAATGCCTGGACGATGTCAGTTTCTTGTAATTTTGGGGGGCATCGTTTGCCAACTGATTTGGATATCAGAATATTTCAGCCATGAGGGGTTGGTTGAAAGACCGCAGAAAGGTGATTTTTCATATCTTGTATGAAATTTTAGTCATACTTCTGTAGATACTTCATGAAAAGCACAAAGTAGATTTTTTAATTTGGGACATACAACCACGACATGGTCTTCATGCATGGCTGGTCTCAAACCTTTTTTTTGAGATTTTTTTAACGCATTTCCAACTTAATCGTTTCCAGTTTTTGAATTACAACGACACTTAGAGTAACAAGTAATATCTTTCCTATACATCGCAAAATTATTAAACTAGAAATACGTTATCGCAATTATGCTATACAGTGATAGGTGAGGTCAGTGGTGAGAATAATGGGAAACAAGCCAAAGGGGAAAATTTTTGATCAAAAAACAAAAAAAAGACAAAAACAAAAACTGAACAGGAATTTTTTCTGTGTACTGCACTAAATGCTTACACCGAGAAATATGTCTGGTAATGCAAGCTTAATGTCTTTTCCAACCTACCCTACCCCAACTTCTAACGAAGCAACCCCTTCTGGCAAATGTTCTCTGTAGGAGAAATGCGGGGTCGATGGTAGAGTAAACTTTTTTTTTTGTATAGATCAAGGCAAGTTATCTGCCCTTCCAACGTATGATTTAGTCATTGGAGTCTTGTCCGCAAGAGGCAATCATGAGCAACGCCAAGCAATCAGGGACACATGGCTTGGATATATCATGCAACATCCATCTCTACAAGAACAGTAAGATAACCTTAAAGACTTAATTGATTGTCATATTGTCATATTTGGTTACACATGTGTTGAAATTTCAAGGCAGGGTGCTTGGCATGGAAAGAGCATAAACCTGCTAAATTCTCCTTTCATATAGCCTTGTGTTTGCTTGGTAACCTCCATTAAGACCCTTCAACCACATACAAATATCCCAGACTGATCTCCACACATTGCCATGAGGATTTGCGTCATGTACTGTAGTAGTTCTCCTAACCCTAAAAAGCCAAGTGTGGTCCAACTGCAATGTTGATCATTTTAATCAAATCTCATTACCTTTCCTAGGCCTCTTGATGTACAGTATTTGCATGGTCACAGTTGTATAATCGAAAGTGACAATAATAATGTTGCAGTCAGTAATAATATTATAACTTCACAGTTTACATTGAACATTATAATGTGTTCTCTCTAAGTACCAAATACATAGACCTGAATGCAACTACAACTGGCCACTATTTATGGGGACACACCAATAATATTGCCCAGAGGGTTTTAAGAAGAACCAGATCTTTCTCATATGCCATAATGAATATGCCTGCTGCTCTCATGAATTTGAAAAAGTGGTTGTAACTAGAGCTGGTTCAGCGTACAAGAATGAGCTCTCACAAAAGAAATTTTAATGTTTAATGAGTGTCTTGATATCTGAAATAGACATGCGGCTAAACAAACTCAATTTTTTAGACCAAAATAACCCAAGATCTTTACCAACAAACCATTAGCTCAGTTTGTAGTTTCATTTAAGTGTTGATTTATTATGAGAAAACTCTGAGTGGTCACTTACAAGAGCTTAAAAGTAAAGGAAAAATCCAGTTGGGCAAATCCCAAGAGTGGTTGCAGTCACTTTCAGGAGCAGTCGGTTACGAGAGCTTTTCGTTAGAACGGTTAAGTCACAGTTCAAACAGGGTTTCACAAATGTGGTCATAACTAGAGCTGATCACTTATGGGAGTGGTCACAAGGAGGGTTTCAACCATATTTATACTTAAATTTTTTTCACCTTCAGGGTTGTCATTAAGAGCCGTGGGCCGGGGATTTTCCCCGGCTACTAAGAGAGTAGCCCCCGGCTACTTTTATTGGAAAATAGAAGAAAAATAGAACCAAAAGAAATCCCTAGCCATTTGATTCCCCGCCTACTTGTTGTATTTACCCGGCAACTTGAAATCTTAGTGACAACCCTGCACCTTGTAATACTATAATTTATTCCAATTTGATGTAACATAGTTATCATTGCCTACATTATGTCTTGAATAAGACATTATGCCCAAGTAAGCAGGGGCAGATCCAGTAATTTTTTTAGGAGGGGGTGCACTCATCTCTTGCTCTACTTCAGCACCAATAAACCACATAGTTTTTTTTTTTTTTGGAAAATACCAGTTGTATTAGAAAACTGCAGGTCATCTCAGGGGGGGGGGTGCGCACCTGCACCCTGCACCCTCCCCCTAGATCCGCCCCTGGTAAGAACGCTATACTTAAAGAGTGAGATAGATGAACCTGTATTATGACGACATGATACGTTCATGCCACGTAGACGCCCTCACCTCCTGGTTATTTTTATCTCCCCTCATGTGTGGCTGATGTCCAGCTTTTTTCATAATTAAT